ATCCGTACTACACAAATGTTCTGTATGGCCCTCCAGAGGGTTTTGATGTGACAAATTACTGGCAGAGATTATAGCCCCATGGCTATTCACCAGAGGCAATGTAAAATTAACATGGTACTAATCCAATTTAAACAAAAAGTTGCATAAACAATCCTCTGAACAAAACCAGATAGATGATTCCAATTTTATATTCAAACACAATAAATGTGTTTTTAATAAGTTTTAGGAAAAAATTTTGAAATATTCACATATGAAATGTGCCAATTTGATGAAGTTATTAATTTTAGTCTTGAAAAAACAGTTAGTGGCAGAGCACAATTCACTGTGGTAATCCCAAAGTCTATCACTTTTCTTCTTTAAGTGCTGTATCTCAATGCAGTCTGCAGAACATCCATGATGTCTAGTGACCTCAAAATTTGTTTACAGTTTGTATCTAAAGCAGAAACTTGTGGGATGAGAGTAAAACTGGTCTCCAATGAGAAAGCAATGAACAATTACTATGCTTAAAGAGCTGTTATTTTCTTTCATGGAGCGTAAGTTTTGAACCACCAATTTGATGCTTTTTTCTTTCCTTTTCTTAATACACTTAAAGTAATTCAGGAGAAAGAAGGCATCTGAACTTTTGTGATATCCTCCCTGTTACCACCACATAATTAAAATCACACTTGCGATGGTTTTGGGGCAAGTGGGTAGAAAATATAGGGGATAAATACAAAATAGTTTAAATGGAAAAACTGGAAAATAATAACATTAGGATGTTTTGGAAGGAAGATTCTTTGGTGAAAGTCTTTCATACTAAATCTCCTTTTAAAGATTATCTCACTATCCCAGTATAAAACTAACAAAAAGCTATGAATTTGTGGAGTATACATTATTTGCTTATAATCCAAAAAATGAACTCAAATGGTAAAAAAAAAATGTGATTTATAACATACATGAATATGACTTAAAAGTCAATTACAGTAAAAAGTTCTTACATAAAGGTATTTCTTAAGAAATATGTCAATTATAATGAGATTGTTTTAATAATCAATGATTACTCATTTCTCCCAAGGAAAATGTCCTAAGCGACAGCTAATACTTCTCCATCTTTTCACCTGATTTTGGTGAGGCCTTGTAATTAGTCACCACTGCATCTGTCTCTTTACTGTTTACTGTTCAACTTCTGCTGCTTCCTTGTCTACTCCCCATTTTCAATCTGAAGTGATTTCCAACCCAACGATGCCATTTGAACATTTCTCTCTAGCGTGTTTCTCCCTTAGCTTTGAGTGACACACACACACAGTGATAACCCAGCTGTCCTCCTGTTTTTCTAACACTTTCCAACTTCATTTGCATTTCTCATCATCCTGCTTTAGTGTTGTTAATCAGTCTTCCCCTTTGAACTTAAGTTCCACATGACACCAATAGCTATAGCCTCTTTTTAACAACAGTTACTATTTATCCAGCACATACCATGTAACAAACCCCTTATTAATAGACAGTTTACAGATGATTCATCTAATTAGTGTCTACGGCAGTCCCAGGTCCATAGTAGGGTCTCAGTAAGCACTTGATGAATGAATGAAAGAATGAACAAAGGAACTAAGGACAAGAACTAACTATAAAATGTTTCTTCAGACTCAGTACACCCACACCCTATACTCAGCTTTGGGAAGTTCACCTACTGACCTCTTGCATATCTGCATTCAGCCTGTACGTCTTTTCCCTTCTGTGCAGTTTTCTACAGAACATTTATTAAAACTCCCATCCAAACACAAGTAAATACAAAATACTGCTATTACTCAAACTATATCCTACACCACACTTCCCCACCACTATCACTGCATAACATCCTCCCATTCTCCACACTTAAAAATTTAAAGTATTGTTGGTGCCTGTCATTTCATTGAACAACTGATCAGTCACAAAGCTCTCTAATATTTACTCTATTCATCAATATCCAAAGCTACCACCCAATTAGGACCACGCTGACTAAACGCAACAATACTGTTGTTACATATGACAGCTTTAAGGCTCATCTCTTTTAAACAACGGTTACTATTTACTGAGCACATACCATATAACAAACACTATATTAAATAAGCACTTAACAGATGCCTTATTCTCAGAACAACCTGGGAGGAAAATTTCTCATTGTGCAAATGAGGAGACTACTCAGAGAAGTTAAACTATCAGAGTCCCAGAGGTAGTAAGAGGCAAAGCCAAGAGCCAACCCAGCTTTCCTGACTGCAGAGCCTGGTTCTTAACCACTACATGGGCCACTGGTGATACAGTTTGTATTCTGTTCTTTTAACAGCTATTCTCATCACGTTATTTCCTTGTCCCCAATTTCATGAGGACTCCTCCCTGTTGCACTGTCTGTAAGCTAAGTATCTTGGCACCATGACCACGTATTAGCTCCTTCTTCAATCTCCGTAATTCTCATCATTGGAGCTCGTCTCTCTAACACTGAATGATGCCATTTTCTTTGCTAGAATATGTCAACTCACGACTACTTCTACCTCAGTACTCTTGTTGGAAATCTCTGACCTCTATGGCTTATTTTCTTTTCCTTGAAATTCTTTCATTCTTTGGCTTTTATGGACTGAAGCCATAATACTATGAAAGGGAAGAGCCTATGCCTGGATTCTGGTCCAGTGATTTCAACTCCAGCTCTGTTAGTTGGTACCAGTGTGAGCATATCCAGCTTCCCCTCTGTAACTCTTAGTATCTTCCTCTGTAATAGTCCCTGCTTTACAGGGATCTTTGTTAGGATTAAAATTTCTAACGGGTTTACACAGCACTTGGCACATCAAAAGCCTTCAGCAAGTACCAACTGCTCTACCAGCATCATCATCTCTCTCTAGTTGCTATTCCTTCCTTACCATTCCTTTCCCATTTTTAAATATAAGAATTCAAAGTTCTACCTGACACAGCTTCAATTACCACCTCTGCAAAGGACTCCTTCATCTACTTTTAAGCCCATTATCCTTCCAACAACAGATCCATATTTCAAACTGCTAGCCGAATTTCTTTCTGTAAAAACGAAAACACCCAAATTTGCAAATCCTATCTCCTTCCTACACTCCAACCAGCTTCTTGGTAACATATCTCCAAAACTGGCAACTTTTTCAGACACCAAGTGTTGAACCCTTGGCAGGCAGAGAGAGAGAGAGAGAGAGAGAGGGAAAGAGGGAGAGGGAAAGAGAGATTTTTTTGTTTTGTTTTTAAGAGACAAGGTCTCACTCTGTGGCTCAGACTATATAGTGCAGTGGCATGATCACAGCTCACTGTTACCTTCAACTCCTGGAGGTTTAAGCGATTCCTTCTGTCTAAGCCTCTGACTAGCTAGGACTACAAGCATGTGCCACCACCCTGGGCTAATTTCTCTATTTTTTGTAGAGACAAAGTCTCTCTCTGTTATTTTCCAGGCTGGTATGATTGAAATCTTGGCCTCAAGCGATCCCTCCTCCTCCCAGAGGGCCAGGATTACAGACCTAAGCTACCATGCCCAACCCCTGACACATCACCTTTGACAAGAATCCTCTTGCTGCCTCTGTACTGCTATCATAGAAGTTCCAATCCTCAGTACCTGAAATGACCCCTAAAATGGGCCCTCCTTTGTTTTATAAGAAGAGTGTGTGGTTTCCCACTTCCTACCTCTTTGCTTTGCTCATTTTATTCATTAAATTTACATTTCTCCCTACTTTCCTATATCACAACCAATTCCTCTATTAAAATCCTACTACCTACCTCCAGAGGAGAAATACCACCTCTTCTATGATACCTTTCTCAAATTCGACTGAACAGTATACTTTCCTCTCTCAGGCATTCTATATGGTTCTTTTCAGGGCTCTTATGATTAGGTAGTAAATGCTGTATTTGTAGTTGTTTCTTGTTTACTTTTAAATGGCAAGATCCCTGAAGGGAAGGCCTATGTCTTATATATACTTACAGTTGGAATAATATAATTTTATATTTACTGAACACGTAGGGAGTGCCCTGAATACAGGAGATCCTTAGTTCTACACATAATGTCTATCCTTAGTTCTGCCAGCATTTATATAATATATAACATATTCACTCATTATATTATTTTATGCATCTTAATATCTACCTGTTTTTATTCGTAATGTTTACAACCTCAACTCATCCACAAACTAGGTTAGGCTAAGCTGTCTACTACTTCCTAATTTCCATGTAGTCCAGTAGTACTCTATGGAAGTAGGAAGCATTTAAAATAATAATACCACAAAGATATATTTGATGGTTATGAAGATAAATTAAGAAAAACACAAACCTAAAAGTTTCATTCAGAATAAAACTGACATGTTAAAGAAAAGCAAATACTGATCCTGAAAAGTTTTAGTTCAGATAGATTAGATTTGAAATACAAATCTTGTTCATATTTTATTTGCTCTTAATCATCTAAAGAAATTATGTCCAAAGTGAAGATTAATTTCTCATGATGCTAACAGCATTTGTTGTATGGTAGCCAAAAAAAAAAAAAAAAATGAAATGTAAAAATTCAGGAAACTACTATTAAGGTTTTTCAACTGTTTTAAAATGATGCAAAATTCGCTAGGATCCCTTTTCCTATCTGAATTATTGTGTATTCTTGAGAATAACACTTAAAATATATTCTTAAATTTGAGAAAATATTACATTTAAGTTATCCTTAAATTTCTACCCCTAAAAGGCATTCTCGAGAATTTCCATTTTCTATTTCTACTAAGGAGGAAAAGAACGGTTCTATAAGTGAAAGTAAAAGAAATTACTCCCAATTTTCTTTAGGTAAGAGTAGTTGGCAATTAAAAAAAAGATATAAAAGTTTGTTTTTATTTATAAAAAAGGTAGATCTTGTGCACATATCGCATTAAGTAAAAAAAGCCTCTAATCTCAAAAAATAGCACTGGAGATTTAAATGCAGACTTCTGAAGGCAACAGACAGTGCCAAGCATGAGAACTTGTGAAGAAACCAGGAGAAGATGTAAAAAAAAGAGCTATAAATTACATACCTGTTTAAGTCTGGCAAGTTCTTTCAAAGCTCGTCCCCACTGCTGCTTGTAATGCAGTTTAGACTTAGTTGCGGATTCCAACTTTCTTTCAAGTTCAACCTAACAGTGATTAAAATCATATCAAGTGAAACACTATACCACTGTGTACAACCACTGAAAGATAATATATACAAAGAGTCTGGCTTAAGAAAAGAGTTTATACAGCGTAACATACGACATCATCTCAAACTGTTATATAATTTACTATAAATATTATGGCACATGAACATTTTCTTGTTTAAAATATAGTCTTATTTTTATTGCCTAACAGCCTATACTAAAAAGAACTGAATTAGTCTTAACCTCCAGACAGTTACTATAAATGTATTTAAACATGTATATTATATAAAGATCATAGAATAAAAAATACATTCATTTTTTACAAAAACCAGTTCTGTTAACATTCCAATTTAGCTAGCACACTAAAGCTTAGAACCAAGTTTTCCTTTTGGTGGCCTATCATTATGTGAAGTTTTGTCTTATAATGAAGAGAGCTAGCAGAGATACTATTATAACTATATTCTGGCAAAACCAGGGAACTCTGAAAACAATGAAATGTTTTATCAGAAAGACATTTACTAAGAAAGAGTACGGAGTCAAAAATATTTCAAGAATGTTAAAATAAACCCAAGAGTAAGAAAAATAATGTTCCTTAATAACACATATCTTCTATTTTTTATTTTTCCTCAAATATATAAAGAAAAACACTAGAGTGATTCAATTAAAAAATAGGGTTATTTATACTTGCAGCAGGCAATCTGTTGTGTATGAACCAACGCCAACTTGGCTATGTTTTGGAATGTACTCACTCTGTGTTTCAAACCAAGTACCAAACAAATTCATGTAGCCAACAGACAGTTTTACTATTAAGTGATAATGCAATAATCTGCTTGAATTACAGTAAAACACTGTTACTCTGGACTTGTCTAATTTTTTAATATCAAGTCTAGTTTTTGTTTTACAGGAAAACAAGAGTGAAGACACTATCCAAAAACTTAAACTTCAGAAACTTAGATGAAAATAAAATGAAAGGAAAAGCAGATTGCCAAATTCCCTTCACAAAGACCAGAACATTCTCTGCAGTAATATATGACTACTCAGAGTCAAAGCCTTTTCTGCTTTACAAATCCCTAGTGCTTGGATTTAAATGTGTTAACATTTCACAACTAGACTCAAGCATCTTAAGTTGAATAATACTGCTGAGATTATCACAGATGATCTCTTCCACTTATGCCCCAGAGATTTATACATATTACTTGGTAATTTCTTACCAGGCCATGTGTCACAAGCAAAGAAAAAAATATTTTTCTAGCTATGGGATAAAAGGGTAATATTCAATCATAAAAGTTGATCATGTCAACGGGTCTTAGATAAAATCTAGTATATTGGATGGGTCCAAAGATGAGGGTTAGGACAAAGATGAATCTAGAGGGATTACTTATACCAAAGGGACTACCTCCAAACAGAAAAAACTGTCAGGGCTGGTTATATCAGTTTTGCCATAATTATTAAAATAATTCACATTTGCACAGTCATACTAACTTAAAACACAAAGTTTTACAGACATGTATCACTTCTTTATTCTTAAAAATTCAAAACCTGTAGCTAGCAAATCTGAGACACAAACCCCATTTTTCTCATTTGTTCCTATCACCATATCAGTGATTTCTAACTTTTCTATTTTTTAAATGTACAGATGTTTCTGTGATTTTAAAGAAATACATGGACCCAATTCTCAGAAAAATGCATGCAACCAAAAGTTTGATATAATTTCAGGGCATTCAAAGACCTTGAGTTAAGAACCCTCATTGTATTTTTATTTAGGTTTTCTTGGTCTATGACTGAGGTAAGACCATAAGCCAAGTTACACAGTCCTGAAAGGAAAACAGGGCCTAGAGTCAGTTCAGAGGCGAGTGAAGACTAACAGCACTGAATCGCATTCCTCAGCTCCCGACTTCCCCGTTTCTGCCCTTGACATATCTACCATTCTCCTTCTCTGCTTAGATGTACGGCATTGTCTTTGTCTCTCATTCCCCTATTCCCGGGTCTAATCTGTCATGAGAACTACAGATTTCTCCCTCGAAATATTTTCAAATTTTATTCTCTTATATTCTGACTGCTACTTCCTTAGCCCAGGCTTTTTTCAACTCATCTTGACCATAAGAGTTCTCTTGTCTTCCTAGCCTCAAATCTATTCTATCTACAAATCCTACAAATGGCAATTAGATCAATCCACTCTCTAGTAAAAAAATCTACATTAGCTACTGTTTGTCTACAGTATTGAGCCTAAACTCCTCTGCCTCAGATTCAAAGTACTCTAAGATGTAATTCCTATCCTATCTGCTCAATCAAAGTTTTTGGTATTCCTCAACAGGAAATCTACCTCCAACCAAGTTTATATCCCCTATGCCATTCCCCTTCCTTGCCCAAGACCAATTATTTTTTTCACTGCTTATCTAAATCTTAAGGTTCAGCTCAAATTCTATCTCTACATGAAACAATCTTATTGCTAGATTCTTGGCTCAGTGCCTGTAGCTCAAGCAGCTAGGGCGCCAGTCACATACACGGGAGCTGGCGGGTTCAAATCCAGCCTCGGTCTGCTGCTAAACAGCAACGATGACGCCTACAACCAAAAAAAAAAAAAAAAAAAAATAGCCGAGTGGGGGGCTCTTGTGGTCCCAGCTACTTGGGAGGCTGAGGCAGGAGACTCGCTTGAGCCCAGGAGTTGGAGGTTGCTGTGAGCTGTGATGCCACGGCACTCTACCCAGGGCGACAGCTTGAAACACTGTCTCAAAAAGTAAATAAATACAAAACAAAAAAAATAAATAAAATTGCTAGATTCTTAAGACCAAATGGTTTCTTTTTTCTGAATTGCAAAGAATATCATATGCCTTGGTATTTGATTATTCATAGTTATTTATTACTAAGTCATCTCTCAGTTACATTAAAAACTCTTTAAAATGGCTTAGCGCCTGAAGCACAGTGGTTATGATGCCACATGCACTGAGGGTGGCAGGTTCAAACCTGGCCAGGGGCAGCTACTTGGGAGGCTGAAGCAAGAGAATCGCTTAAGCCCAAGAGTTTGAGGTTACTGTAAGCTATGATGCCAGAGCATTCTACCGAGGGCAACATAGTGAGACTCTGTCTCAAAAAACAAAAAACAACTCTTTAAAAGTGAAGTCTCAAAACATTAAGGTACTTTTTCTCTTACTCTCTTTTTATTTTCTCTTATTTTTCCTATTTGCTCTAAGTCAGGAGTGAACATATCAAATATTCTTAAATATATAAAATTTAGCTTGATCAAAAAACTACATTCTTACACTATATTTTCTGTCTTTTCAACCTCTGTATGCACCACTAAATTACATGCTTTCTACATTTTATTTTTTAAAAGTCCCACTTCTTTTCAAGCTACATAAAATACATTTACTAGCTAAAAGGAAATCATAAACTATTATTCACTAATTATTCCTGGGTCATTACAAAAGTACTGAGATACACAATAATAAAAAAATGTAAAATCCACATAGACGGAAACAAATGAAGCCCTCCCAGCAAAACCAATAAGCCAAGCAAGTTGAAATGTGCCTGGGCGAACCAGAAAGGTCTCTGGGGATTGTATTTCCTGGAAATGTGCTCCGAAAATCCAATGCTTTCTGAGTGCTGACATGATGTTCGAAGGATTTCAGATTTCAGGTTAGGGACGTTGAACTGACAAGTATATAATCTGAAATAATCTGCAACATTTTGGATAAGGGATGCTCAACTTGTAAAAGGAATCAAGAATTACATTTGGTAAAACTATCTTAATGTTAATTTATTTTTAGACCATTTCAGTAAAAATGGGAGTATATATGTTCTATTGATGAGAATGGGTATTCAGAAAAGAAAAAGCTCTCCATCAGACATAACCAGAACTTAGAGACTAAATCAGATGCTCTTCCACTGGTGTCTTCCTTTTTATGCTTTTCTCTTTGTTACCACGTAAGAAATAAGATTCTGCCCTCTTCTGGCTCCAACAAGATTTACACAGACTCTTCAGCAGAGCGGAAAAGCCTTCTTTTATTAAGCACTTACACATGCTGGAGAGTAGGATGAATTCTTTAGGTCAGTACAGGGGCACTTCAGGTATGTGTTACTCTCTCTCTCTGAACAGGTTCACAGTAATATTTACACTTTTAAATACATTTATTAATTTTTTTTAACCTTTTGGTAAATGTAGAGTTGAAAGGAGGAATTCTAAGAATCATTTAAAATTTGTAATAAGATAATGCCTGTTACGATTTTGATACCTGGTCTCTGAATTTTCTCAAACAAAATGGAAATACTCTTAAGACACGAACTTGATAGATGCTGTGAGAATTGATAGGATATTATCTAATAAGTCCTTCAAGTATTTATGGTAGGTGCTATAGAATTATATTTATAAATACCAAAATACTTCAACACTTGATTTTATCAAAGGAGTGGGAAATGTCCAGCTGGATTCATGTTTACTGGTAGAAAACTAAAGAGATTGTCCAACTATGTATGAAAAATAATCAACAAGATGTTGCAATTAAATGAACATGAACAAGAAGTTCCCTAAGATAGCCTGGCAGTTAACAGGCTACAGAAACATTCAGAGTTCAGAAACACCAGATAAACAATTTCAGAAAAATGACAGAGTTTAGTTCTGGAGGTGCTGGACTAACCAGAAGACCAAGTTTTGTCTTCCAAAGGTCCAGGAAGTCTCAAAACTATTTTCATAACACACATAATACTAAGACATATGTCTTTTCCACTTTCATTCTTCCATGAATATACAGTGGAGTTTTCCAGAGGCTACATGATGCATTATAATCCAACACAGTGAATGCAAAAGCAGGTGTAAGAATTCATAGGTCTACTACCCAGCTACTAATGAGATTTGCATAAGAATAAAACAATGTCACTCAAGGTCTTTAGAAAATTGTTATGTTTCATAAAAGCATTATCTATATTACTACTGGATTTTTTTAATGAGTAAGATTTTAAAACATTTCCAGTTTTAATACCTAGTGCAGTGAATACCAATAGATACAAAGTGCTTTGGAGTCCTCTATACTATTAATAGTAAAAAGGGGTCCTGAATCCAAAACGTTTGAGAACTATTGTTCTAAGGCATTCAAGAAAAGAGACTGAGTGAGCAGTTAAATACATGGGTCTTCAGCCGAAGAGATAAGTCTTACCCTCTTACACACATACTAGATGAATGATCTTTTTATGTAAAGACCAAGTAACTCTTCAATGATCCCTACTTAAGACCCTTCAATGGTATCTCATTACTTAAGTTGTGTTACCTGATAAGTAAAATAAACAAAAGTCCCAGGTTCTGAACTAAACGTTTTACAAACATTAAGTTGTTTAATTCTGTTATTGACCTTCCTACTCACATTTTAAAAGTAATGGAAATAAGCGTAGAGACGTAAAGCAACTTGTACAAGGTCACACAACAGGCAAGTAGCAAAGAGGGGGTGGTGAACCAAGGTCACCTGGCTCTAGTGTTCATGGTGTTAACTATTATTAAGCTACAACTCTATGAGACTCAAAGCTAAACCTCAATTCTTTGCCATGACTTTGAAGGCCTGTATTTTGAACCTCATCTAGTACGTTCTTTTCCTCTCAGAGCCTAGGATAGCCTTTTCCTAGTTCCAAATTTGGTATAAAATGGTTTGAGTTGTTAAGTTCCTACTATTAGGAACTCCTACTATTAGTCCAGGCTTCGTCCCACCTCAGTACCTTTGCAGCTCTTCCCTAGACAGTCTCCGCAGCTCTTCCCTAGACAGTCTCCACAGCTCTGTACACTGTTGGCACCCCCTCTTCTCATAGATCTCAATTCAAATGTTAGTCATCACCTCAAAAAGGCCTTCCTTACCCACCCATGTGGAATAGCACCTGTGCTGCCATATTCACTTTGACACTACTCTTAATTTTATTATATGTGGCATTAATAAAAATGATCTCACCCATCTGTTTACTCTTTCCTTTAAAAATGAACTCCTTGAGCAATCTGTTTTGTTCAGTGCAAGACTACTAACAATCCTAGGAACACAGAGGTACCTCAGTAAGTAGCTGACAAACTAAACAGTAGGAACTTAACAACTCAAACCATTTTATACCACAATGACAAACAATATGCCTTCCATAAATTTTTGCTGAATGAATATGCGAAAATTCTGAGTAGCAAACATTGTGCTAGTTCTTTAAAATTATTAACAAATGTTTACTTAGTGCTATAAGGTACCATAGATGCTGTCCTAAAAGCAAGTGATATGGCTAAGCTGCCACATGGTTTCTGCATTAAAGTTTACAATCTAGCTTGGATTGTGAGAGTTCTGAAATAGTCACAGTATTATAAGGTGCTAAAAAAAATACATCCCATTGACTAATACCAGATTATAGCACCTCAACATAATCCTTAAGGTTCTGAGTATTGGGAGTTATGAAGCAAAAGATCTTGAACCTATTCTCTGGTCTTCCTCTCCTTTGCACACTTTAACACAGACTTATCCTTACTTTGCTCAAGAGCACTCTTGATGCCACTGCAATTCTTTAGTCCATTCTCCCAAACCTTTGTCTATCTCTTGTTCCTTTAGTGCTACTTTCTGATTACTATTTTACCATGTTTATCACTAACACTGATTAAGCCAAACTAATAAACTTGGAAGTAATCTGTGCTATTCTTACCATGTTTTAAATTCTTTAACTTAGCGTCCTTCCCCTACATAGCCAAAATTACCTTTATTTTAAGCATTCTCTTATCAGTCCTATTATTATTTTGTAAACTACTACTATAGGTTCAATATCCTAAACATGAAATCCAAAACGCTCCAAAATCCAAACTTTCAATGTTGACATGACACTCAAAAGTGATTCTCAAAGGAAATGCTTACTAGATCACTGCTGACCAGTGAACTAGAACCACTGTGGGGGTTAGCCAATGGAAGCTGGAAAGAAGTGCTGCTTAGTGGAAGAAGGAACCATAAAATGAGGCAACAACTGCCAGAGAAAGTAAAGGAAGCAAGGAGCAGGCAGGGAAGAACCCTGGCATTTTCCCAACTCCCACCCATCAATCTTCCTTTAGTGCCCCCTAGTGGCTAAATCTACAGACGTGAAACCAAGACCGCCTTCAACACAAAGATGAGCAGGAAGGACCCAACAGCAGGCACCATTAAATCCTTAAACAGTTAAAGGTTATTTCCCTGAGTATGCTAATCTTTTTAATGATGCCAAAAAATTATGAATCATAATATAAAGGAGCCCATATTGTCAAACTTAGGCTGTCCACTGGACATGACATATTTTTTATTTTTATTTTTTTAGATAGAATTTCACAAACATTTAGTTGCCCTGGCTCTAAACCATGAACACCATAAACGAGTCTCATAGAATTGTAGCTTAATAATAGTTAACACCATGAATACCATAAACGTTTAGTTGCCCTGGGTAGAGTGCTGTGGCATCACAGCTCACAGCAACCTCAAACTCTTGGGTGTAAGCTATTTTCTTGCCTCAGCCTCCCAAGCAGCCAGGACTGTAGGTACCCTCCAACGCCTGGCTATTTTCTAGAGACAAGGTCTCGCTCTGGCTCAGGCTGGTCTTGAACCTGTGAGCTCAGGCAATACACCCACCTTGCCCTCCCAGAGTGCTAGGACTACAGGCATAAGCCACCGCACCTGGCCTGACATGACACATTTTTTAATGCCTGTTTGTGGGGAATCCCAATATGAATGAGAGGCAGGACATAACTTCTAACCACAGAAAAGAAAATGGGACAAATATTCCTTCTTCCATGCTGAGAGCTACAGTGTAAATCTGTGGTTCAAATGAATGCTCCTGTCTAGTTAGTCAGCTCTGGTGACTCTATCAAGGACTCTAACTGGTATAAGCTATAACTTTGACATAAGCCAAGAAATTCAATCACTAATCTTATTATGTGCCTTGAATTCTCTGATGCATGGTTATTTGATATTAGAACACTATAATGAAACATTATTATATTGATTGTACATACAAATATTATTTATTGATTTTCTACACAGATCACTGGAACTAGTTAAGCTGCCAAAAATTAACATGGGTACCTTTTCCAAAGTGAGAAGATTTATTTCAGATTGTAGACGGATTTCTGGTTTGTTGCTTTGCTGATCCTTGAACTGCTGAAATTCTTTCTCCAAAATTTTATATTTATTTTCAGCATCAGTAAGCTGTATTTAAAAAAAAAGTATTTATAACAATTTTAAAACACTGATATGCACAGTTTAAAAGGACAAAATTCAATTCAACAGTTTTTTTTTTTATTCTGAAGCATTTTCATAGAAAATTTGGAAAATACATAAAACGTAATGAGGAAAATAAAGACCCCTAACTAAAAATACAGTAAAAACCAATTGATTATACAAAAACTTTTGAAGGGTATGAAATTTTTTATAAAACTAGTATCATGAGAATTTTTTTGTTAAACTTTAACTGGCAAATTTAAAAGTCACCTTATAGAAATATTGATAATTTCTTTACACGTAAGAAAAGACTGAGTATTATAGATGTACCAGATTATTATCCTTGAAGATAAAAATAAGGGTCAACTTTAATGTAGTATTTATTCTTACATTTTGATAGTGCATGAATTTTATAAATTCAAATACTATTACAAATTTAGATAATGTAAAGATTATCTGACCCTCAATTTTCTTACCTGTAAATGTGAAGGAACTAAACCAAAGAGCTAAAAAATTGAGGCAGTGCCAAAGAGCTAGAGAGGTATTCTGTAGTGGGGGCAAAAACAGAATTCAGACTTCCCCCAATGTTCTAATAAAACCAGTCAATACTTCTTAAAAATAAAAAACAACAACAACAAAAAAGAGGCTATAAAAATCTTCTTTTTGAAACTGGGATTTCTTTTTCATGAAATGTAAACAAGAATTGTTAAAGATGCTTTCTAAAGACATATGCTAATATGACTAACCATCATTAGATAAACTAGTAATTGCTATCCTAAAATGTAACACTTAACTAAATCTGAAGTACTGAGAATTTCTAACAAAAATGTAACTTAGATCATCAATAAGGAGTGATTCTAATTAGGATTTATCTAGCATCTTTAGGTCATGAAGTAGGTGTTTGATAACTGAGAAATTTCTTTATAGCTAAAGTTCGCCTCTATTAACATCTAAAGTTGAATAGAAACTTTCTGAATGATTTCTCTCACTTTTCTGTTTTAAACAAAAGCACTTAATAGTATTTTGGGTAGTTTCTTCACCATTCCAGGACATTATCATGAATAACTGTTGTTATTACAATCAGGTTGTAAAGCAGTCAGCTATTAAGAAATGCTGGGCTCTTTTCCTTTGCTAAGCGATAGACAAAAGTACAGTGATTTTAAGTCCTGGTACCTGCTTTTATCTATTTGCGTACAGATACCATATTTTCATGAGCACTCACTGACAGTGTGTTTGACAGTCTCTTCTATCCATCTAGATAGAATTGTATGCATAATATATGTATCAAGGTCAGGGTAAGGGCCTAACAAGTTTTTCTATGCATAAAATGTGAGATATATAGGAGTACATTCATGGGCTTAGCAATTTGGGTACTTGGAAACCTCCCTAGTTCTTAGAACACTGGTGTGCCCCAGCTGATTTTTCAAAAACACTGTTTTTTCCCAGCAACATTCTTCCTACATAGATGTAAGTTAATCTACCAGTCTGGGACAGGGCACAGACAGACATATTGGTCAAGAGCAACCCTGGTAATTCTAACAAAGAATCTTTGTTCTACATGGCTGAATCTTCCCGATAAGTGAAAGAAGTGAAGCATTACTAGTGAATCCCATCATAATTGCCCACTTTTACAACATCATCTTTTATATTTTAAATGAGATCCCCCCCATAGTAACAATCAAACTCATACTTAACAACCACCTAAATACTGTGACCATAACTGACCCTGAGTTGCTATGGAAACTGTTCTTCATGACAGAATTGACTGAAGCCTTTAGATGCATTCACCACATGTATCTAATCTACACTGAAATTTTTTAAGAAAAATTAAGCTTAATTTTTAACACCATGATCCTCCTTTAGTAAATATTTAAGAAGTCCTTGTTATATGCTGATGACTGGGCTGGGATACTGGCATATAGCTATAAACCAAAACAGTTTTATGGGCCAAATACTCTGACATTGTTTAAACTAGCATGCTAATGAAAATAAAAACAGACTGATATAACATGTCATAAAGAAAAGGAATAGGAGGATTATGTCCCATGAAAACACGTAACAAAACTTGACCTAGACCTGAAAACCAGCAGTCAGGGAAGATTTCTTGGGGTAAATGACACTTTGTCTGAAATTAGAAGGATGTGTAGAGTTCACTAGGCTCAGAAAAAGCAGCACACATGAAGATCCTGTGGGTAGAGTGAGCCTGCCATGCTTGAGGACCTGAGGGAAGACCAGCATCACTGACAAGTACGTGGCAGAGGTGAACGTGGGAGGGGAGGCTGGAGAGACAGCTCCACACTATGCCGATGCTGGCAGGGCGAGGTAATGACTCTGACCTTGATACTCTGAGCAGTAAGACAACACTTAAAGGTTTTAAAGAGAAAGGTGTCAAGATTCCCAAATTTAAAAAATATCATTCCAGCTGCAACATGAGGAACACATCACTAAAACAAAGATCACTTGCAGGAAGAGGGTCAAGTATGGAGAGAAGGATCACGTTGTGTTTTATAATAAATGTCTTTAAGACCTAAGTAGAGGTGTCAAAAAGCAATCAGATATATGGGTCTAGAGTGCACAGTAGGCTCTTGAATATAAACATGAACATTCCAGATATACAGTTTGTCTCTGAAGTCATGGGAATGGATAAGATTGTTTTGTAGTTTGAGTCTGGAGGAAGTCCAACATTTAATGGCTACATAAGGAAAAGAGACCTGCAAAAGAGCCTGAGAGATGGCCAGAAAGGTTGAGGAAAACAAGCAGAGGGTGGTGTAGAAGCTGAGAAGAGAATATAAAAAACAAAGACAATAGTGTTGATGTCAATACATTCTAGTAAGATAAAAAATGAAAAATTGGCTCAGTGCCTGTAGCTCAGTGGCTAGGGTAATAGCCACATACACCGAAGCTGGCGGGTTTGAATCCAGCCTGGGTCTGCCAAAGAACAATGACAACTACAACCAAAACATAGCCAGGCATTGTGGTGGGGGCCTGTAGTCCCAGGTACTTGGGAGGATGAGGCAAGAGAATTGCTTAAGCCCAGGAGTTTGAGGGTGCTGTGAGCTGTGATGCCACAGAACTCTACCGAGGGCGACAAAGTAAAACTATGTCTCAAAAAAGAAAAATACCCGCTGAATCTAGTGACTTAGCCATTGTTAGCTTCTTGACAACTGGCTGGCTGGAGGGATGGGGTCAAAAAGCAGAATAGGATGGGTTGAGAGCCGAGTGTAAGGGGAGGAAACGGAGAAGGGCACAGACAATTCTCTCATGAAATTTGGTTCTTAACTGAATTTGGCCAGTGCAACATGAAAAATACCTATATTTGCTAAAAGATTTATCAGAAAAAAATTTTAAGTTAGAAGTGACCTGAAATATAGCACAATTTCATGCAAATAGTTATAAGGGCGGGAAAAGTATTCTAACAATAGCCCTTAGCTTTAACTTAGAAAAGGAAGATCCAACATAAAGTATTATTTATATTTCAGTGCCATAAATATGATTAATAGTCCAAATTACTGTCATTTTAACCCCTTTTAATATTAAGTAAACTACTTCTATTATTCCTGGAGCAAGTCAACACTTTAAAAAGATGACAAGTGTTACCCGACCTGCTGCTGAAGTCGGTGTTTATCTTCCTCAAGCTGCTTAATCTTCAACCTTTCTAGCTCCACTTGGTGAATACAGTCTTCTTTGGCTCTACGCTTAGAATCCTGAAGTTCTTGCGTGTTTCGTTCACGTTCTGATTGTAGTTCCTTTTTTTCTCTTCGAAGCTTAAAACAAAGGTATCTTTAAGAGATTGCTTTAGTACTAGCTACATTATACTCTTCAATATTCTACTATCCCTCTAAACAGTGAAAGTTCATAGTATCAACAAATTTACTGTCATATCTTTCATCTTTTGTAGTTATTAGAGCATTAATATTCAAGGATACTATTAAGGGGGGTTTTGTTGTTGTTTTGGTTTTTCGTTTTTTGGTTTTTTTTTTTTTAAAGTCAGACAGGGTCTCTTGTTGCTTGGGCTAGAATGCACAGGTGTGACCATAGGTCACTGCAGCTTCATCCTCCTGCCTCAGCCTCCTAAGTAGCTGGGAATTACAAGTATGTGACACAACACCCAGCTAAGCTTTGTATTTTCTGTAGACACAGTGTCTCACTCTGTTGCGCAGGCTGGGCTTCAAGCTCCTGACCTCAAATGATCCTCCTGCCCCAGCCTCCTAAACTGTGGGATTATAGGTATAAACTACTGTGCTCAATCAGCCATATTACAAATTTTCAATCAATCTTAATTTAATAATAATATACACGTATACGCAAAACTCTATATACAATTTATATAAATTCAGTTGAAAAGCCCTAACCACTTAAAATTCCTATTTCAATAAAACCCCTTTTTTCGAATAAGCACATGTGCATAATTTTCTTTTCTTCCTTTAGAAACCTCTGATTCTCTGACTAATCACGGAGAAGGTGACAGAACCTTGGCATTAGGAATAAAATCTTCCTTGTATTTAAGTTTAAACACCCAAATTATTCAGAAATCTCAGAAAATGTATAATGATATTGTTGGAGTGATTTGTTGAGAAGATTTTAATAAAGACATTTTAGTTAGGGAAGGGGCATATAAATTTAATGTGGAAGACACACTAATTATTTTGAAATGATCTTTACAGAAATTTTAAAAAACATTTAGGGTAAAACCTAATGCTAACGAGGCGTAATACTGACTGAAGTTCTCAACTCTTCTTGGGATCTAATCTTTAATGGTCAAGGAAGAGGGAAACTCCTTTCTTCCTGAGAACATCAGATTCTAAGCCCCTGAGCCTATGCGACACTTCCTCTTCTCTCCAGGCACCCCAACTATTTGTTCCTTCCACATAATAGGAAAGCTAAGTGTAGCCTCCAACACCCATCTGTAGAAGTCAGCCGAGCTGGCAGAATAGCAGCTAAGTGATTTCAAATAACGAACATCTTCCTCCTACTTCTAACATTCTAACATATAAGATATGCTTTACCCAGGTAAACAGCAGTTTTCTCCATAATGTCTGAAAGACAAGTTCTGTAAAATGTATTTGGAGTATAGAACAAAAATCAATAGTATGAATGAAATACAAAGACTCTGCCAACTAAAGATGTATGAGAGATGGAGGAAATACCTCAGATTCTGCACTAGCAAGCTGCTGCTCTCGCTTCTCTAAGTCGATTAGGGTTTTTTGAAGTTTTCCTTCCAGAACAGTATATTCAGCCACCTAAGACACAGTAGAAGAAAAATTACCTTCTCCTCAAATTAAAAAAATACACACAAATTCAAAACTATGTAATACATTTCATTATTTCACAGAAAGAGGCTCCAAGGATCTACCAATCCAAGCAGAAATTCTTTCTGCTATACTCTAAGGAAAGAAGCCTTAGCATCTGCTCAGGTATCACCAGTGATATTCAGTCTCCCAAGGAAGTCCATATTCCTGCTGGGCAATCAGCCTGCTAATAAAAACTTGTGCTTAGTCAAAACCTAGCTCCTTAAAATCCGCCTTACTCAATCCTCCAGTATATATCTGAAGCCATCTCTGTCACTTACACTCTCCATTCTTAGAACTTAGCTGTGGTTAGATCAGCTATTCAGTTATCATTTAGTCCTCCTTTTGGCTCAGATCTGACCTTGTACTATAATGCCAGTAACTAAGTCCCTATTAGAGCCACTAGCCTAGTAACCCTCTTATTTCTGGTCTAAAGTTCTGCTCTGCTCTGTTTTTAAGGGCACAAGTCTTATTCAGGAAGGTGGCCTACCTGCACAGTCTATACTGGATTGAGGATTCTCTTGGCTTTCTACCTTTCAATTTAGACTGATAATTTTTTACTAGAACTTTCTGAACCAATTTTTCTCCCATCTTCACCAACTCACATCCAGGTTCCAGGTCATATCCTGTCCTCGTTCCTATTGCCTATAAAGCCCTGGTTTGATGCTCCTTGGAAGTGTGCTCTTTAATCCTATTTCTACCCTTGAAGGGGGAGGGGGGGAGACTATGTTTATATAATTGAGACTGGTGATGGGCACACATTTCCTTCTAGTCTTTTTTCTTCTCTAAGACAAATACAAATTTTAATTGTTATTTGCATTTGCCATTTGAGGATTCTAGTCACACTGTTAATGTCAAAGAAAATTCCCAGGGTTTTTTTTGTCTGTTTGTTTTTAAACCTGGCACAACTATACCCACAGTCCACGTGACTGTTTTGACTGCTGAATTTGACACTTGCCCTTGTTAAACTTCATTTTGATGATTTAGGCTTAGTATGCCAACCAGTCAGGGTCATTTTAGATATAAAGTCTGTTAATTCCACCATCTAGTTTTGTTCATGTATAAGCATGCCTTTCATCTTTAAACAAATGACTAGAACACCTATGTTCCTAAAGTTCTGTTTCAGGATGTATTTTCCTCCCATGCCATATGACCTCTTGGGTAAGCTCATCTGCCTACTATCACCTGTACTAAGAACTCATAAATTTGTAAGGCCAAATCTCCTGCCAGAGTTTTAGGCCTATAGACTCAAATACCTCCTAAACACATTGATATTCCTCATATCTCAAACTCAAAAATGTATAAAAATCTGAAATCATAATCTTTTTAAATATTATATACCTAGCATATCCTGTGGCCTCTATATTTTGAGGGAAGAGAAAAATACGCAAGTGCATATTTGGCATAAGTAGCTGCTATGAAGAGAACACGGCAGTGAGAAGACAGTACCTGGGGGCAGGAGAGGACAGTGCCTTGGAAAGGGTAGAGAATCTCACTGGGATTAGTCTGAGCAGAGCCCTGAAAGTATCTGAAGGAAGAGTACTCCAGAGACCCCGAGGAGACATGCCTTAGCATATGTGAGGAACGATATGAAAGCCAGTGTGACTGGAACAGACTGAGTCAGCAGAAAGCTGATAGAGAATGAGGTCAGAGAGGAAGCCAGGGCACTGATCATATGAGGCCTTGTAGGTCAGAGCAAGAACTCTTTTACTTTAAGTGTGATGAGCAGCAGGACATGATCTATTTTAAAAGCCTCATCCTTGGGCTGGCATGGATATAACAAGGTACAGAAGCCAAGAATATCAAGTTAAGAAGTAATTGTCACTGCCAGGTGCAGTGGCTCACGTCTATAATCCTAGCACTTTGTAAAGCTGAGGTGGGAGGACTGCTGGTAATCAGGAGTTCAAGACCAGCCTGAGAAAGAGCAAGACCCTATCACTATAGAAAATGGAAACAATCAGTCAGTCATGGCAGCTTATGCCTCTAGTCCCAGCTTTTTGAGAGGCTAAGGCAGGAGGATTTCTTGAGCTCAGAAGCTATGATCATGCTACTGCATTCTAGACTAGGCAACAAAGTGAGACCCCATCTCAAAAAAAAAAAAAAAAAGAAAGAAAGAAAGAAGTAACTGTAGTAATCTAGGAAAGAGAGATCATGATGGACTTAAACTAGGGCAATAGTGACAGCATTGAACGTGACTGGTTTCAAGGATACATTCTGAATGAGAAGCCAACAGGATTTGTAATGAAGTAGATGTGAAATGAAGGAGTCAAGGATGACCTGGCTTGCAGCCTGAAAAACTGAATAAACAGTAGTGCCATTTAGTAAGGTCGACAATCGACAGAAGAAAATTTACTGAGGATGGAGATACTATTTGTAGAAATATTAAATCTGAGATGCATATCAGATAGCCAATTGACAATGCAGGCAGCTAAATGGTCAAGAGCAGGAGGAAAGTCAGGGATAGAAGTAGGTAGACGTGTGTGTGTATAACATATTTAATTTGATAAATATAAAATCAAAGAAGTGGATGAGATCACCAGAGAGGTATAGAAAGTGACAAGATTTGAGGACTGGACCCTGGATATTTAGGGTTTAGAGTAAGGAGGGAGATCTAAACTGGGGAGGAGACACCCTGGAGACAGTACAGGACAGCACCAGGAAAGGGCAGTCAAGGAAGCCCGGCAGAGGAAGTGTACAAAGGGAGAGAGAAAAGTGGGTCAAGATGAGGGAGGACTGGCTCGGCGCCTGTGGCTCAAGTGGCTAAGGCACCAGCCACATACACCTAAGGTGGTGGGTTCGAATCCAGCCCGGCCTGCCAAACAACAATGACAGCTGCAACCAAAAAATAGCCAGGCGTTGTGGCGGGCGCCTGTGGTCCCATCTACTTGGGAGGCAGAGGCAGGAGACTCACTTGAGCCCAGGAGTTGGAGGTGCTGTGAGCTGTGATGCCACAGCACTCTACCCAGGGGGACAGCTTGAGGCTCTGTCTCAAAAAAAAAAAAAAAGATGAGGGAGGACTACTTGATAAGAGAAAAACACTGTGAAGGAACCATTCCGCAGAGTGAGAGAATGAACTGCCTAGAGAAGGCAGTACAACTGGAAGGCAGGACTGAGGGTCCCTCAGGCCTGAGGTTGTAAACTTCCTTCACATCATCTATTTAAAACCCGTCGTGATCTTTTCTCCACAATCTTACTGCTTCTGTTAGTTTTCAGCCTTCATTTTCTCTTACACAGATTATTGGTTTTCTAGTCTCTTAGACTGTAGTTTCACATTCCTCTGTTCTATCCACTATACCTCTATCAAAATGATTGTTCTAAAATGAAAACCTGATTACCTTAGATTACCTTATTCTGTAATATAAAAATCTCCATTAAGAATTTCTCAAATTTCTACCAGTTTCAACCAGGGTTCACTGTGATGTGATCATTTTCTCCATCCTCTCATAAAATGGCAACTAACTTTACCACTCTACATGAATAGGCTAGAATTATCACCAACAATCTATACTTTAGGGCTGTAGGGATTCATTTTCTCAGCGAAGGTTGGCTGAAAAAGCCTACATGATATAATCTAATCTCAGTCAACCTCTTCTTTATTTCATAAGGCACACCGTTTTTTCTCGTCCATCCACATCAAACTACATACAATTTTCTTAATGCACAATCTGTGTCAAACTTCTCTGCCTTTACTCAAGGGGCTTTCTCTGTTTGGAATGCCCTTTGGATCTGCCTGGCAGTATCTAGTAATCTTCACACAGTGAAAGCATAATCTCATCTATACAATACTTCCTCGTGCCCCCCTACGGAGAACTCATGTCTTCCTTCTCTGTGGATAGCTCTCTTCCGCCCTGATGATGGACAATCACATAAAGAAAACACTGCTCCAGAGGTCAATGCTCCAGAGCTCAATGTAGGAGCCAGGTATATGCTATTTATATACTCCTTCAGGTAAAATCTCAAAGCATTAAAGAAGTTATATAGTGTTCTAAGAAAGATTTTAGGTAAATAAATTAAAAGAAAGGCTCACAAGTAATTGACATAAAAAAGTTGTATGTGATCCCAATTACTCTGACTTGATTAATATACATTGTACACAAGTACCCTATAAATATATACAACTATTACGTACCCCTAATAACTAAAAATTTTAATTAAAAAATTTTTTTTAAATACTATGTGAAATTTAAAAGAGTTCATCGTACAGAAGAAAAACTGTTTCTTTCTTTCTCTCTAGGATTTCATTTTGTAGTAGTCTATAAAAATTTTAAAACTGATCACGTTAGCACATCCTAGCTTACAATATTCTTCCACGATAAGATCCTTTGAATTAAAGTATTTAGTCTCAAAAGTGCACTTAGGTGGAAAGAAAATAGCAAATCTCAAATCTACTTTTACAATTTGACTAATTCAATTAGACAGCACAACCACTTATTAGACGAGCAGCATATTCTTATTATTTATTTATTTACTTTTGAGGTAAGTCTCGCTCTGCTGCCAGGCTAGTGTGCAGTGCTGTCATTACATGTCACTGCAACCTCAAACTCCTGGGCTCAAGACATACTCCTGCTTTAGCCTCCCAAGTAGCTGGGACTATAGGCACACACCACCACTCCGAGCTGACTTTTTTATATTTTGTAGATTCGGGGGTCTCACTATGTTGCTCAAGCTGGTCTCAAGCAATCGTCCCACCTCAGCCTCCTAAAGTACTGGGATCACAGGCATGAGCCACTATGCCCAGCTTATTACACTGTATTTTTTAAGGAGTTATTAACTAGCCAGGAACTCATCAACTCAAGCTGAAATGATAAAAGTTGGATAAATGGAAACCAATCAAAAATTTAAATGAAAAGATGATTATTACCAAAATGAAAACAAATCAAGTTATTTGGGGAGTTTTTTCACCTCATTACATTAAAACTGACTTTTTTTTTTTCAAGAAAAGTTCAATTATGACATAAATTGGATTTGTCATTTCTTATATTAACTTTTTGAATTTTTTCCTGATTTGAACTTTATAAAAATGAAAAACTGAAAAACTCTTCAACGGCATGGGAAAAAAAATGATTGAAAGATAAGCCCAATCTTATCTTAAAAGATAAATGAGAAATTTAGAATACTAAAATATTTTCCAGCTTCCTCAGATTAATTACTATTGTACTATGTTGGAACTGAAATACTACTTAATATAAAACTCATGTATAAACAGCCATAGACCAGCGGGGTTGATCCCACTGCCAGTTTGTTTTGCACATTCTGTTGTCTCGCTTAAACATATGTATAACATTCCCCTGCGGTGGGTGGGTCAGGGACTCCCACTGATATGTGGCAGTAAAACTAGTATATTTTACTGTTTAAATATCTGTGAGGACTTCTCACATATATTAAATATATGTTTTAATGTTTAAATATATGTGAGAGCTTCTAAATTATCATTATCATGATTCTGGTGATTATTTGAACATAAGAATAGGGGTTTTGAGTAGTCTTGCCCTCTTTTTCATTGAGCTTTTTTAAAAGTTCACTGGTTATGCAAGTTTTTCATGGTTGAGAATTGAGTTACACAAAGCCAAAGTGGTCATTTTAAAGTCAATGGTCTGACTGACTTCTGCTACCACCCCTCAAAGAGAAACTGCCACCTCAATAAACACAAACTCAACAACGTACATGGAACTGTCTCCAGACAATCAGCAAGAGTAGCACAGGACTAGGAACCCTAAAAGACACGGAATAAACGAGGCAAGCCCTACCGCAGTGGTTCTCAACCTTCCTAATGCTGCGGCCCTTGTGGGCCGTAACCCACAGGTTGAGAACCACTGCCCTACAGTAATGCTGGCTTACTACCTGAAGGCAATTTCCAGACGACTCAAGGGAGAACCCAGACAGAGCCTCGAATTCCCGCTGAGGGGAGGAAATAGACTGGAGACTAGAGGCTCAGGCAACTAGCATCTGTGAGGAGAGGAGGGAGATGCACAGAGAAGGTTTGCTGGAGAGCTGTGGAGTCATCTCCTCAAATTCGAGGCTGAATACTGATTAGAAACTCAGATTGAATGTAAATGAATACTAACGTAAATGAATACTAAACTTTTGCCTTCTGGAATAAGATGAAATGGTCTTATGTTATCATTTTTAAAGATATGACTTATTTCATGATTTAATTCTTTAAAAAGTAGCTTAAGCATTTTTGAGACATTTTCATAATTTTTTGGAGGGGACTGAGGTCTTGCTTATGCTGCCCAGGCTGGAGTACAGCGGCGTGATCATAGTTCACTGCAGCTTCCCAACGCCTTGGCTCAAAGATCCTGCTGCTTCAGCCTCCTGAGCAGCTGGGACTACAGGAGCAAGACTTACCTTTCAGACAATACAGTAATTTTTATATATACAGAAACATGCTACTTTCTTTTTCATAAACTATCAGCAGGTTTTTTCTTGATAGTATTAATTCTTTTATATTTAATATTTTGTAATAAGTAATGCAGTTGCATGAGTCAAAATCTAAAAAGCACAGAAACATCTTCCTATGAAAAGCTTCCCTCCCACTGAGGCCCATCTGTTCACTATTTCCATACCCACACATACCCACTATAATTAGTTATTTCTTCCAGAGACTTTCTTTACTGCGTAGTCAAGCCATTCTCATTAACATTTTTCCTTTCTTCCCTCAATGTTGACACAACTTCTTACCTTTTTCTTTACTAGTGATTCCCTTTCTCGGTCCCTTTTCTTCCATTCCTCTGCAAGAGCCTGCATATGAGCCAGTTCTTTCTGCTTTAGCTATAAAAGGAAGAAAAAGTCACAGAAGGACTAAGACTGATCACTAATACATTTTCTTTAGGCATTCTGTTCTTTTCAATTTCACACTTTATCTTTGTGGCATTGGGTTAGGGAATGGGTAGGAGTCATAAGTATACAGAACTGTGATATTTCCCTGTCTCTCATTTGCATTGTGGACCTAAGTTTAAACTGTCTTCAAGTTCAGGATCCAGTTCAGAGTCAGCAGAGGCTGACCACTGTTGCTGGGAAGTGGGGGGCGGGGGAGACCCTTCCACCTCAGGCCCAGGGTCTACTGCAGGCTCTCTCCCTACAGACAGGAACAGGGTGTACTCCTGGTAGGACTTGGGAACAATCCTATATAAGTTCTATAAGCCTGTCAGCATCTAGAGACACCATGACCAGCTCTTCTCTAAATGGATGATCTTAGAGTCCCGCTTCTTCATAAGCATCTTTATCCAGTGATAAAATTTTCTGTTTGGCAGGCGGGCAATACTTTTATTTTCATTAGTATCTATATCATATGCAAGTGCTCAGTATTTAATTGTACTGTAATTGTGACAGTGGGTCACTACAAGAGGCTGGTGGCATGACTGGGCGTGGCCAAACTCAGCTTTCTCACAGACTACAAGTGGACAGAAGCCTTCACAGCCTGCAAAGGTTGTCACCAGTGCCCCAAGCTCCTCGAGCTCACTGCTTGCCCCTTTCCTTGTCACACCTCTTCCCTCCACCAAGCTCTTTTTTAATATGTTATTCTTTAAAAAAAAAAAAAAAAAGAAGACGACTTGCCTGGGGCAAGTCATACTCAAGAGTCTAATCCAGGAATACAAAGCTGATAATGGGTTCTGCTTTCTAACTCTTGTGGGAGAATGATGATGCCAGGTTCAGGAGGGAATGCCAAACAAGAACTGAGACTGCAAGAGTAACCTTCATTCCTGGAATAATTCTGTCCAACTGTCATGGACAATGCTGGGCATCCTTCTGAGTGACATCTGCCACGCTGTCACATTTCAAGTACTTTTTAGTCTCAATTTTTCTTTACAAGTTACATATTGTTGACATTCAAAGAAACTAGCTAGGGTACCCATGGAACATAGAAAACCCTGCCATGAAAGATAAAGATACTAAGTAAACAAAAATAGATTGTTTTAAGAAACTTTAGTAACCTGATTTTCAAAAATGTCTTCTTGCATCTCCTTCCACATTTCTAGTTCAAGTGCTGCTTTGTACTCTAAAGTTTCCCGAGGCTCTATCTGGATCTCTGAAGGACAGGGTGCTGGGGGAAGAGAAGCTGACTTCTCTTGTACAGCAGGTACATTCTAGGGTATGATGAAAAAGCACATTTAAACAAACATACACATTAGATGCCTTTTAAAAAAGAATTTGCTAATACTCCATTATATTTACCTGAGAAGAATCAGAGACAAAGATCTCACGCATTTTTACCAGTCCATAATCTTCTAGTGTCATTGTGTAAGAAAGATCTACTATCCTGTTATTTGATCTACAAATGAAATAAAAAAAAAAAAATCTTAAAAATGCACAGAAATGCAGCATATGATTTTTCCTTTTATTACCCCAGTATTTTAACGTTGTGAAATAAGTAGCATATCTTGCACCTGACACCTCTGCTGCTGAAAGTACAGCAGCTTCTAACGGCTTCAAGACCTCCCATATATTAATGATGATTTGTCACCACCAACACTCTAGTAAGTGTAACACGTACCTGTATTTACAACGAAATGACCTACAACAGCTATACATTTTTTGGAAAACCTGAGAAGCATAAAGGTGATATTTAAAATCCTACTGCCCACAGGTAATTACTACGAATACTTAGTTTATCTCCTTCCTCTTCATGTTACTTACGTGGAGACACACATGCAGGCAGGCATGTTAACATCAGACAGTTCTGTCCTGTTCTCCTATTTATATCAGGAGCATTTTCTCATGTCAGACATTAATTTAAAAATGTGATTTTTTTACTGTCTATAAAATAATTAATATACTTATAATAAAATATAGTAAAAAATACGGTGAAATGTATTTCACATTATAGTACTTCACATTTCAAGTACTGTAAATTCAGATACAGGTTATTCTGAATTCTTGTTTCTACTTTTCCTGGGATAAACATACTTATACATAAATCTTAATATAAAAAAGTACCTCAGGATAATTCCTAAAAGTAGGGTATTTTGATCATAACAAGCACCTCTCTGAATCACAGCACTGCATGTAGCCTTTATCATTAACTCAATAAAAACAAGAAAAAAATGTTAGAGGATAATAACATTTTGCCAATAAAAAGACACAGTTTTGTCCAAATCAAATAATATGCCAATCAAACAAAATGTAATGAATGGATCTCACCCAATTAGAACTCCTACTTCACTACATTTTCTTGTTCTAATCTCATGGATTTTGGAAGAAATGAAAAAAGTAACATAAAGTACTACTGTATCTGAAAGCACTCTTGAAGTTGTCCCTTAGGTAAATCTCTAAAGCTTCTCTGTCCTCCGAGCAGGGCAACAAAATATTCATAACAGATAGCATTAAAATAGCTTCAAGTGTTAGTGACCTCGTTATATTCAACTTACAATGTAAGAACATAATGCTAATTTTCAATAATAGGAGTTGAAACAAAGTAAAAAAAATGCAGTTAACCAAACAGTGGATTCTCTAAGACACCTGCTCCCAGATCTTCCAAGTGAATAAAAGTTTTACAAAATCCTTCTGTCTCTCAAAGTGGCTATGAATGGGGAGGAATAAAGGGGAAAAAATTCAATTATACTTTTAGATCTAAGATTTTTACTGAGCCTTATTTCCTTCTATAAGAGAGAATCTCTGTCACCCTGGGTAGAGTGCTGTGGCGTCATAGCTTACAACTTCAAACTAGTGGGCTCAAGAGATTCTCCTGCTTCAGCCTCCCCAGTAGCAGGCGCCCACCACAAGGCAGAGCTAGTTTTCTATTTTTAGTAGAGACGGGGTCTGGCTCTTGCTCAGGCTGATCTTGAACTCCCACGCTCAAGCAATCTGCCTGGCTCAGACTCTCAGAGCACTGGTATTACAGGCGTGAACCACCGTACTCAGCCACTCTTATTATTCTTTAAAGATAAATTTAAATTGTTAATTTCACAAAGACAATTCAGCAGATTATTTCATTTAAAATATGTAAAAAACTCAAGTTTTTCATAATGGCAAAGAAGTTCAAAAAGATAACTCCAACTGCTAAATATTTGTAACATCCTCAGACTTTAGATTTGAGGCAGAAGTTAAAATATTTTACAACGGGAAAAACAGTCATAGCCATTTCCACTGCAAAATAATGCAAAATACTTTATAAATTTAAGCCTGAATTACTGAATTACAAGGTACAAAAAGTAGATACTGAAGTTTAAGTGGTCAGGCTAAAAAGAAGGAAGGGAAAATGAAAATACTTAGTCTGAATGAGCATTACAGTAGCACAGTACCAAAGATTCTTTACTGTTGTGGAGTAAAATGGGTGTCAGAAAGCTAAAAAGCAATCTGGGATACAGCCCCCTCAAGTCTAAGAAGAAAAGTCTGGAAAGAAGATATGAAAGGGTGAAATTGTGGCTCATCAGAATTACACTAAGAGTAAAAAAGCAAAGTAAAGATCAATTTTATTACCCTTGTGCTGCTATCACAGGCACACTTTCACTGTAAGTTTGACGCCAACACTGTTCACCATTAGAACCTAAAAAACGAGTTTTTTCTGAGGACAAGATGTTAGAAAGCTGGATTCTCGCAATTCCCAGAAGTAAATCTTTACTCATTTTATCCTTATGCCACAATTCAACCAGCAAGGGAATCCTAAGAAAGAGAAAAACACGTGTTCATACCCATCAATTCTAAACTACAATCTCTGAATTCCGTTAAAGATGTTTCTGTTACTTGAAATGTTATCTAGCACAACTGTCAGATGAAAGGCTCAGTTCCACAAAATGAGATACAGTCATGTGACTTATAACAATGTTTCTGTCAACGATGGACCACATATAACCGTGCACTTTTACTGCTTTTCTGTGTTCAGATACATTTAGACACACAAATACTTACCATTAGGTTCCAACTGCCTACAGTATTTAGTACAGTAACTTGCTGTACAGGTTTGTAGCTTAGGGGCAAAGAGCCATGCACCATCCAGGCCCGGGTGCAGCAGGCTGTCCGCAGGTGTGTGTAATAAGTATACTCTATGCCTGCACAGTGATGACGTATTTCTCAGAACGTATCTCCATCCCTACATGACACATAACTGTACTATTTCATTTTCTACCTCTTTCTGTGCAATAAAGAAAACTCTTCAAACATTACTATTCTCACAAACAGATTTTTAGTTACCCTTCATTATTCCTTCTAAATTAATACAGTGTACAATATAAATTTGGATTGTAATTGTAAGAGATGTTCCATACTTCTCACTTTTCTTTATGAATCATTTCAGATACTTCCAGTCCATACATTTAAAAAAAAAAAGGGCAATTTTTTTCATTCAGTTAATCAATAATAAAAACAAAATATCTGGTTCTTATTTACTTTTATATATTATATTTTAAAAAGGCAGGGGTGTGCTCAGAGCAGGGGCCTGAAGAATGGCTCTGCTGTTCATAACACACCCCAGAGGAATCTGGGGTCACTGTGATGAGAGGGAAAAAAGCCTGTAGCCTCCCTATGAATAAATTCCCTACATGTGAAGAAAAAAATTATAAAATTTATGTGGTGGGTGTAGGGGCAATCACTGTATAATTCGTTCAACTGTACTATATGTTTGAAAAATTGCCTAATAAAAAATTAGAAAATTTTTTTTAAAAAGGCAAGACTACTACACGGCGGGGCCTGTGGCTCAGTGAATAGGGTGCCGGCCCCATATACCAAGGGTGGCGGGTTTGAATCCGGCCCCGGCCAAATTGCAACAAAAAAATAGCCGGGCGTTGTGATGGGCACCTTTAGTCCCAGCTACTCGGGAGGCTGAGGCAAGAGAATTGCCTAAGTCCAAGAGCTAGAGGTTGCTGTGGGCTATGATGCCACAGCACTCTACCGAGGGTGACAGAGTCAGACTCTGTCACTTAAAAAAAAAAAAGGCAAGACTACTTATCAAAGTTCCATCATTATTCACAGATTAACTTGGGTAAACAAAATATGAAAATCTGCAAAGAGCCTTTATAATAAACTGTGTGAAACTCTATAGTGGAAGCACTAATGTTATAGACATAGACACCACTAGTAAATTTGTTTCTTGATTCTGAAATGTACATAGTGCTATGGACTTAAGCCTATAGGAACTCCTTTTCAGTAAGATGCGAATTTTCAAGAGCTGACTAAAAAGTAACTAATGCCATACACTTAATTTACATATCACCTTAAGAAGGTGTCCTGCAGCTGATGTGGCAGAGTTGCAAAATCAAACGCACAGTAAGACTGGGGAAGAAAAACCTCCATGTTCTTCCGAACTTCTACCGGAGGATTAGTCATAATAGGAGCTGCACTTCCAAAGAATGGATACGAATACCTAGAATGGAAGAAAAAGCCTTAGAATACAGTAATAACCTCTATAATGAGATTTATAGATTTCTAAAAAGCATAGTACGATTATGAATAGAATTTTTTTAAACAGAAAAATGGTAGAAATACGGAGGTGCTGTTTACTTAAGATCCTATCTTTTCCATTTTGACTTCCAGTAACAAGTGGTTTTGCTAAATTTAATTTATAAATCCCACTTCCTTTATACAATAGTGACATTTTATGGGCTAAAAATCCCTTATTCAACTCCAAAAGGACATATTCATGATAATCTGTCTCTGAACAGAGAATCACGGATGAAAACAACTCCAATGTAGTACGGATGAATCAGGGTGATTGAACACGGTTTCCTCCTTTTACCACAAAAACTACACTAGATTAAACAGGAGAATGCCTGACTACTGTTACACTTACTCTGTATTTGAAGGCAAGTAAATATAAACATACTATAATACTCACTTACATTTCATCCTGTATTGAACACTAAAATTTAAACCCTAATTATAACAATTGCTTTCTCACAAGAATAATCTTGGACCAATTCCTATGTGATATACATCCAATGACATCACGTCATCCCAGAGAAAATGCAAGCCCTAGAATTTCAACCCCCACCATCCCAGTATGAGATACAGGGATTGAAAGAAAACAAATTTAAGAAAATCCTACAGATTGAACTTCTTCATACACCAGTGTTACCTCATAAATTCCATTACAAAATTGCAAACTACAATATCATACCAAGGCAGAGCATGATAACTAAAATTTACTGAACTGAGAAAAAGTTAATGGCTAGCATTTTAAACCTTAAAATGATATAAAGACAGAATCCATGGTCCTTATCATCAGGTGAATTCTATGTAGAATGCAAGTGGATAGTAACCATTTATTTTCTGTTTAGAATATCATTTCCCTTTCCTTGGCCAACTGAAGTACTATTCTCTCTCATACAACAGACTTATTTCTGAAACTATCTTCCTCTTTCGGTGGGTCATGTACCTCTAATGCCATGCACATTGTTAGGAGCTTAATGATTAAACAAATGGTTCCTCATAAGTAAACACAAATACTAACATTAGCACTTTCTAAGTGCACATGAAGCTCCTATCTCTCAGCATCTATCTAATTCTCGATCATCTCTTTGTTTCTGTGCTTCTGGCCAAATTCCTATTATCCTAAAATCAAATTACCTAGTAAGAGCATAAGAGAAATCTCAGTGAAAGGACTAGAAACAAAAGAAAAAAAAAGTAAAGTAGAAAATAATAAATAATTCTACTTGTAAAGATGTTATATAAACCCTTTAAGGAAAGCTGTGTCTGTGAGAGAAAATCTTTTTTTTAATTTTCAATTTCCAAATAAAAACATTTTAGTAATGATTCTCAGTATCTAATAATAGGTAAACTGCTGAGATTAAGGTGAGATGGAAAGACCTTCATCCTGCCAATTCATAATCACACTTACTACCGGGTCCTATTGATTCTGCCCATTATTTATACCAAAGTGAGAGTATTGGGGAAATGACTTGGTAAGGCATCAAAGAACTGAAAAATCAGATGCAAGTAGGAGTTGATACATGCATTTAAAAGGGAAGGTATGCTTTAAGTGATACCAAGAAGCAATGCTGTGGATTCACAGAAATGACAATTTGTGATGACACAAAGATTTTCTCACTTTAATCACAGGAAGAGCAACAAATTTACTGTAAATGCTGATGCTTGCACCAAAGAAATTTATAAGGAGAAACTCAATGTGCCAAACTAAATACATTAGTCTATTATACTGAATTTATATTATAGCCATAAAAGTCTATAAAAATGTAACATTATTAAAAACAAATATGTAAAGCCATTTAACTGACATATATTGAACAGAGTGAACAAATTCCACTTATAGCTCATTAATATGATGTTCTGAGTCACAGCTATCAAATGTAGATATTAGGAATATAACATCCCACTATAACACAGTTTTATAGAAAAATAAGATACTGTACTACCATTATTTTGACCTGTAGTACCTTGTTTTTTCAGGGGAAAAAAAATACCTTTAAAGTTTAACAGCCAATGTATTTTAAACAGCAGCACTAATAAATTATTTTAAATGCCTACAATTATTATACCAGAATAGGTAAGAATATTACCTCTCATACCACCACTGCCACCCTGGTTTAAGTTCAAAGCCATTAGAATATTAGCCTTACCCCCTTTTAGTCCGCTGAGTTTACAAATGTAACTTCTTTGTGACCTTTTCTTTCTATACCTCCTCAGAGAAATGGCATTTCTCTTCAGAAAATAAAACTTTGAAACAAAATCAAATCACACCTTAATATACAGTTGATTGGAAAACCAATTTCCAAGGTATGGATACTCCTTAAGTCTATTGAAAAGCAAAAATGATGTGATGTTGCTGGAACAGCAATCTTCTGTCCTGAAGCTGTTTGTGAAACATTGGATGTGGGCACTGGCGGGGCCAGTGAAGCAGGTACAGAAGAACTGGCTAAAAAGAACAGAAAATTAAAAAATAATAATAATAATTCCACTGTCTAACAGTTTCTCTTACATTGCTCAGATAATTTAAAGTTATCATCTCATTTACTTTCAAGCAAGGAATTTTGTCTTATGAACATATGAATTAAGGCACAAATATCTTAAAAGTGACTTGTCTGAAATGACCAAGGCTTTAACCCTTATTCCAACCCTATTAGAGACCAGGGATGTTTAGTGAGGGGCCCAAGTCATACAGCTACTCAGTGACAGAGACATAACTTACACCAAAAATTTCTAACTCCTAATCCACTAGTAACTACTTAAAGTACTACTAACTATAGATTCGTAAGCAATGAGTGAAAATCTTTTATAAAACTAGATAAACATGAATTCTCAGACTCTTAACCTTAGGCCAAAAATGATTATTGTAAGTTTAGTATAAGGATCACTTAACAGTTCTTTTCTCAGAAATTTTGATGAATTTAAGATATAAGAGTTTAATAATTTAAAAGAACTATATTCTTTAATTTCTTTTAAATAGGATATTTCTAATGTGAAAGTTAAAAAAAAAATTTCTCATCTTAATTAAGAAAATTCCATTATGTAGCCAGATATACTGAAATGACTTTAAATGCAAATTTTTTATATCACCATACATTATTGATTCTTAAAAAACCCACAATTTTTACTTACAAGCCATGAAAGTTCCCCGAGTCATTTATTAGATGGCTGCAAAATGCAACACCTAAAAGATGCGTGAGAGAACATCTTACCTTTTGGATTCTGTCGGGTGTCCTTATCATACTGTAAGCTTTCCACTTCGCTTTCTGTGGCATCATCTTTTGTTGGAGGTGACTGGTTGTGAGGCGGAACAGGGGACATGCTTGGTGATTTTGGCTCAGTAAGTGTCTTCTCCTTTATGGGAGTTAAAACTCTCTTCTTTGAATGCTCTGTCTCATGTTCATTCTGGGTCTTTAATTCAATTAAAGACTAAAAACAATTTTTAAATAAAGTATAATTTGCAAAGAACTTTCCTTCACAATTAAGCAAAAAACTTGGCGTTGTTTTTTAAAATATAAGTTTCCTTTCCCAGTTTGGATATTCCTAGTCTATTTTTTCTTCATAATTTGCAAATTTTCTTATAGCATTTAGGACCAGAAAAAGGAAGATGAACAGGAAGGAAATATGATATCCAGAGCTGAGTACCAAAATGCATCCTAATGGGTAAGAAGGGATAGTTGAGAAAAGAAGTCAGGCATAGGTGTCCCCGGGAATAGTTATTCCTACCAAGGCAGTACAATGGAGGACTATACTCCTATAAAGAAAAAAACCAATGTCTAGTATGCTTTTCTTTCTCTCTTTTACTCCACTCCCCTCTAAAAATATATGCATATATATTTTTTAAACACTAACTTTTCTATCTTGAATTAAAAATCTACATAAAGATAAACTCTTTGAACAAGACAAAGTTGATTCTAAAAATAGATACAATTAAAAAACATATACATTCAAATAAATGCCCATCTCTGTTACAAAACTGCCTAACGAACATAAGGACTACAAAGCATTAATGAGCTGAGAATGTTATTTTAGTTCAGGCTGTGTCAACCAGAAGGGAGAGCATTACGTGAAGATACCCAGAAACTAGGCTAAGAATGTTCCCTTTACTGGAGTTCCTTTTCTGTCATAATCATGGACAGTGAGTCGGGAGGTTCTCTGGTAGCAGAATAGTGGACTCTACAGTAGACGCCTACTCCCAAGGCTAAGGGGGCTATGGGTAGTCACTCATAAACCACAGAAGTGGAAGCCATACCACGTTTTAGAAGTCTTTTCAGAAAGAAGGCATCATATAATGTAGCCTACCAATTAAGAATAATAAATGTATTCTTATGCCAGGTAACTCTACTGAAGTTCCATTTTTGGGAGCAATCGCGAGTGAGCGTAGAGAGGCTGGGGAACAGAAGGAGGCCACTACTTGCCTGGGAGTCCATGCCTTCCCTCTGCAGAGCCACAGACACTCCCACAGTTGGAGCCAGCTCCACAGGAATAGGTGCAAGCTTTTGTTTGGCTCGGTTTGGAGGGTCAAGGGTAAACGCACCCTCGACTGTGACTGGGTGGTGGTTGATCTCTGTACTGCCCTTTTTCAGTAATCCAGTTAAAGGTACTTCTGTACTCCCAAGTGACTGGTCTCCACAGCAGAGATGGATCTAATGTGAAAGGAAAAATCGAAACGGAGCTTTATCCTTCCTTCTCTCTCCTACACACCATAAATTTAATAAAAGTCATAAAATGATTCACAGAAAGAAAATATTAGTACAGGTTACCTCATTGACCTGCAGTGACTAATAATCGTTAAAACCAGTGATAAAAAACAAAGTTTACTAACAGCTAGTACTTCTTTTTCATCATATAATTACATGTAATCACCCTTTATCCTGTCTCTTTGGTGAACTATGGTTACTCTATTTTACTATCCTACTTTCCATATACAAATTATATAATAAAATGATGGATTCATGAAAAGACAAGTAAGCATTTTTCTATTTCCATTTTAATACTAACTTAAAGACAGTTCTAAAAAATAAGCCAGTGGATCAACCACAATTTGGAGTTTAAAAACCTCAACTCATTTTCTTTTATTCACTCATAAAATATCTTGGGTGCTTCCCCCTTTTCTTGCTTTTCAGACTTTCTATATATAAAAAGAGTGTTTGCCTGGGGGCAGTGGTTCACACCTGTTATCCTAGCACTCTGAGAGGCCAAGAAGGATGGACAGCTTGAGCTCAGGAGTTCAAGACTAGCCTGAGCAAGAGTGAGACCCCCGTCTCTACTAAACACAGAAAACCAGCTGAGTGTGGGTGCATGCCTCCAGTCTCAGCTATTCAGGAGGCTTATGCCCTAGAGTTTGACATTGCTGTGCGCTCTAATGACTCCTTGGTGGTAATCTACCCAGGGTGACAGAGTGAGACTCTAGCTCTTTTAAAAAAAAAGAGTGTTTAATAGTAAAAGGTAAAACAATTTACCTTTTGTAAATTGGTAAGGGCGGTAAACCATCCACTGTTATTTACTTCTCGGGTGGATGTACTGTTAATCACTGACAGCTAATTAAGTTCACTATTACCATATTTTGACACCTACATAAAAAGAATAAACTGTTCCAGGTATATGTTACATAATTACTCTTTTCCTTTACTATACTAACATGTAAATACGGTACTGTGCATCAACATAGCAGGTGAGCATTTCTGTGTACAATAAGCAACCACTATATAAAAAATATATTTAGCTTTACTATCAGCAGTGACATAGTTAAAAAACTTGTAACTCTGTCCTGACATTAGGTGTAATAATGGGCTGAAGAACCAGTATTTTTATGACTTAAATGTCCTCCATTAGAAACGAACCAAAAGGGGTATACTTTTGGTTAGGATTGACATCTTAGATACAGAATGAAATTCAAACTGCTTTTTCCTGCATTTCATCTTCAGTTTTCTCAATATCTTGACTTTGGCAGAACCATCCTTAAAATTCAGTTCTACTAAAATTTCTTTCTTTTTTTTTTTTTGAGACAGAGCCTCAAGCTGTCACCCTGGGTAGAGTGCCATTGCATCACAGCTCATACCAACCTCCAACTCCTGGGCTAAAGCGATTCTCTTGCCTCAGCCTCCCAAGTAGCTAGAATTACAGGCACTCGCCACAATGCCCAGCTATTTTTTGGTTGTAGTTGTCACTGTTTGGCAGGCCCACACTGGATTCAAACCCGCCAGCTCTGGTGTATGTGGCTGGCATCTTATCCTCTTGAGCTACAGGTACCAAGCCACTACTAAAATTTCTTAATGCCCCTTTTCATCTCTTGCCCCAAAAGCAAGTCTAATTACTGAAGTTATGTTAAACAAATGACTATCTAACCCTATATATCACTACCCCATCTCATTTTGATCAAAATCTATTGTCATAAAAGATAGAAGAGTAATTTTCATAGGCAAAATTCTTTTTTTTTTTAATTTGAGACAGAGTCTCACTCTGTCGCCCTTGGTAGATTGCTGTGGTGTCACAGCTCACAGCAAACTCAAACTTTTGGGCTTAAGCAATTCTCTTGACTAAGCCTCCCAAAAAGCTGGAACCATAGGTGCCCACAATGCCCAGCTATTATTTAGAGATGGGGTCTCACTCTTGCTCAGGCTGGTCTCAAACTCGTGAGCTCAGGTAATCCACTCGCCTTGGCCTCCCAGAGTGCTAGGATTACAGATGTAAGCCACCTCACTTGGCCACCAAAATTTATTTTTAAATAAAGTCCAATTTAAAAAGAGTTCACAAAAAGTACTCAAGGACCGATTTTAGAAAGTTGTCTTATCTCTTTGTTTTTAATAGCAGTAAAGTACATAAATTCTGACATCAAAGTGTGATTTGTGTGCTTACATCTACCATCTCCACTAGCAATAATTAAACTTGGCCTGTGCCTACAGCTCTTAGTTTGAGGTATAATTTTTTATTATAAAGGACTGATAACTGATATACCTCTTTGCTCAATAACCAGATAAAGAGAGGGAGGTATTATCTACTAAAATCTGAATTAACTTTAATGCCAATGACTTTGTAACTCAATACCTAAAAAATTAAAAAATATGACAGAAAGATGACCTCTACTACTAAAATAGGACAGACTTTAGGTAATAAACTTTAGTTAAGGTACTAATGTTTAAAAAATTATTTCCTATTAAAAACAATTTTCAGGGGCGGTGCCTGTGCCTCAGTGAGTAGGGCGCCAGCCCCATATACCAAGGGTGGTGGGTTTAAACTGCAACAAAAAAATAGCTGGGCATTGTGACGGGCGCCTATAGTCCCAGCTACTCGGGAGGCTGAGGCAAGAGAATTGCCTAGGCCAAGGAGTTGGAGGTTGCTGTGAGCTGTGTGATGCCACAGCACTCTACCTAAGACAATAGAGTGAGACTCTGTCTCTACAAAATAAATAAATAAATAAATACATTTCTGTAGACTTACCTGCAGTTTAGACTGAAGAGCCAGGTAAACACGCAGAACTTCTACATTGCTACGTATGCGAACAGACGCTCTTTCTGGCTCAAAGTTTGGGTTGATCAAATCATTGAATGGTTCATTTGTAACATCATTTCCCAGTAAAGAGTAGTAAAAGAAAAATTCAGGCTGTCTTTCTGGAAGTTTCATAGTACATGGAATTAACTAAACATGTGAAGAAAAAGAGAAGAGTATTACTTTCTAAACCAACAAATACGCTGCATGCACCCCCAAATTTTATTTACTAAAATGTTGATAATTTTGTATTTGATGTCTTAAAATTAACCAAATACAATTTTTAAATCTTTGCCAAATTACTAGTTTGATTCATTTTTTAAGGAGTTGTCTTAGAAAAGCACAAAGAGACTAAAAGACATTTTTTGTTCTAAAGTTTTCACTCTATTCAACTGGTCCATGAAAGATAAATGAAAGTTATTTTTAGAGGAAAGGGGTCAACTATTTTAAACTGTCTTTCCTTATTTTCACATACTTTATTTCATCTTATTCTTCCTTTGCCATTGGAGGCTTTACTTATAAATAAGAAAAAGGTTAAAAAAATTAATCAAGGTTGTTTAATACACCAAAATTTTGATAAAAAAGAATTTTAGCTACTCTGTCAAAATTTATAGACCTATAAGTTCAAAAGTTGCAAAAAAATACTGTTACTTCTCAGAGCTGCTAGTTTCACAGGCACATGTGACTAAGAGATGGAATTCTTATCAAATACCTTCTAATAGAAATTGCATGTTCACTAGAACACTGTTACACAATAAACTGAGCACATTCAATAGTTACTTTACGGTATGGCTACCAAATGATACACTGGTATGAACTGCCGGTTAAAAATAAAAGTTACAGGACAGCTTGCATGGTTTATAAAAATAAAAGTGCTAATCCCTTAGATAATAGCACAGTAAGGGACATATAATAGACATAATGCTTGAAAATGAATTTATGTTTGAGTATATTTTAATCATATAGTCTTTACTATCTATAGAGAAAGAGAGGAATTCCTATATACTGTTAATTGTTGAAAGTACAAATTCTAGTCAGACCCCAACCAACTCCAGTTTAATCCATGTCTTGATATCAAACTTTGGAAAATTATGTAATTGTCCTGTGCCTTCATTTCTGTGAGGGTTGTTGGAAGGATTAAGAGAGATAATACATGTTCAACACTACAACAGCAGCCAGTACACGGGTAGCAGCTGTGATCTGAGAACGGGGAAATACACCGCCCTTAATAGTGATTCTCTCTAATAGTTTAACTAGAGAAGACTTGTTTTCCTTTACTTCCTGCCATAATCAGAAAGCAACAAAAATGTTAAGAAATAAAGATGATCCTTATACATTTCACAGTATATTTAATTTTAATAATTCCCACTATGAAGAGATTCTTTTAAAAATCCTTTAGTATCTTGGAATTTAGAGATGATGGTTGTTTCTACCCTTCAGAATTTAACAAAGGAAGCAAGAATATCACCATGCCGTCTTCTTACTCCATATTCATTCCTCCATTCTAATTTATAATAATATCTACAAAGTCACTGATCTGCATCTGAAAATTTGTAGGTTTGTTTATTGCAAGATGCTTTCTCACGTTGCCTTTGACTAGGTTGAGAAAATAAAAACTAAATGGCTAGTTTTATCCCAAACAGAAACAAGTGATCATTAAGCAACCAGGTCTACTATTCTCTCCTGCTTTCAAGTCCTGAAAACCCCAAATCCCCCTTCTGACTGCATGGATTTTTACCTATTCTGGACATTCTATATAAATGGCATCATATAGTATGCAGTGTTTTGTACCTGGCTTCATTCACTCAGCATGTTTTCAACACTCATCCATGTTGCAGAGTGTATCAGCACTGCCTTCCTTGTATAACTGAGTAACATTCCACCGTGTGGGTGCATCACATAGTGCTTATCCATTCATCTGCTGATGAACAGCTGGGTAGCTTCTACTTCTTGGCTTCCCTAAACAGTGCTGCTATGAACATTCATATACAAGTTTTCATTTAAATACCTGTTTTCAAAATGTTGGGGTATACCTAGGAATAGAATAGCTAGATGATGTTTAACTCTTTGAGGAATCTATTAGGCTTTATTTTTTGTGGAGAGAGTAAACAGGCTGCCAGATGTCCATCTCTGTTGTTATTAAACTAAACTGAAGAGTAGTTAGCCCCAAGAACTATATTAGTTTCAGTTACGAGCTCAATAAATAACATAAAAAGCCTTAACCATACAAATAAATGCAGCTTCTTATACACACATGGTAGGCACTTTACTAATACTATCTCAGTGCTCACGCACATCTGCACAGCGTTATCGTACACTTACACAATGAAGCCTCAGAAAGGTTATTTAACATGCCTAAGTTAAAGGAGCTACTAAATACCGAGAATGAGATTTTAACTCAAATCTATCTTACTCTAAATGTCTTAAAAGGCAAGAGGGCATAATATGGGAATAATAAGAGTTTAAAAGGTGACTGTATAGTCTGAAACACCTGGCCATATACTAGCTGTAAAATCTTTCTAAGATTTGGTTTCCTCCTGCCTACATCAAAAATGATGAACCTCTAAAGTTGTGGTAGGATTAACTGCAACATACGCTAAGTAGTTAGCACAATGCCTACTGAACAGAACATAGCACGAAGTAAGGGATCAACAAATATTAACAATTATGCCTCCCTAAAAAAGAGAAAAAAATAAAATGGCAGTTTGGAATGCTCTGCAAATACATGAACAACACAGTAAAAACAGAGTAGACTCCTAATTATCTGACATGTGGACAAGAATATTCTGATGTGGTAAGTAAATAAAAAAACAATGGACACGTGGCTTTCCCTGCAACCAGAGTGACATATTAAGCAGCAGCTCGGACAGTCTCACCTGCTCCAACTGGGTGGCAAATGCGATGGTAACCGACATAACGAAGGAGTCAGTACAATACTCTGCTGGTCCAATCTGATGGTAGCCTCCCTCCTCGTTCAGCACTGCCACAATGTCCCTGGGGTCAAGTCCAGACAAGCCAGCAGGTACTTTACAGAGAAAACATAATTAAACTACTGCGCAGTCCACCATAAACCATTATACTTTCCGTGGTATCTAACATCCCAGATAAAAAAAGAGTCCTCACAAAAATAAACATGTGGCCTGCAGGGCTACACGCTGGACACCCCCACATCAGTTTACATTCCTACATGTATCACTTTATAACATAGTCCCACTCCTAAAGGTCTAGGTAAAAGGTGCAACTTATCAGGGAAGGTCTTTAGAGATGATGCACAAACCTTTTCCATCTCGAGGGGGGGCCCCTTTGGCTTTAAAACTATCCACTGGCGCCTTTGTGTCTGTTTCCAAAGCAATGCTTATCTGTATCTCAGACTTGAACTTGGTGTATTTATTACTCAGCAACTGGTACCATTTCGGTGCCTAGACAATAACAACAACAGATCTTAATAGTTAATGGGAAAAACATGCACTGGGAAATGTTCTGTAAGGTTCTAAATAAACTTCCTGCAGTTTTTCAGCATTTTCTCTTAAAACATTCTTCTTCCCCCTTTTCCTCAAAAGAAATTAATCCTGCTTAGGAAGTCATCAGTTGAAAAACTAAGTAAAAGTTTAGATTATCTCATTTTCTTCCATTCCTATGCTTCAATAGGTAAAATATTAAAGGAAAGAATACAATATATTCCTTTCTTCCTGTGGCTTTATACACCCAATCTCACTTCATCCCTTAAACCAAAAAAAGCTATAAATTTTCTGTCTCCTTAACCTCTACTGTTTCACATTTTTTATTATACTGTCTTACCCTACCAGATTTCTGCTTTGTCCTCTGTTTATCAAATAAGGACAAGAAAATGTTAGTGTTAATAAAAAACACCAACAAAATACTAAAGTAAAGGCCTACTGGTAGAGTTCTGCATTATGAACCATGTACTTGATTTGATTTGAAATAAAGGCCTTCTCCCAGAATGAAGTGTCCTAAATTACCCGACTATCCCCCTATAGCAACCTGAGAAACTCTAGTACCCTGAAAAATCTCATGGCTCTGTGTATCATTTAGCGTAGGAACCACTGTGGGCCAGGGTATCATTCCAATGCTTAGAAACAGTATTCTTACTCTGACCATTGTTACACAAAGATATAGTCTAAGTGGTGCTTATACTACTCAAAACCATATACTGCTATTTTATATTCAAGCTGTATTTGGAAAGTGAAATAGAATTAGTTAGCTTGTTGCTATATATATAATATGCTAAATATGTGTGTGTGTGTGTGTGTGTATATATATATTTTTTTTTTTTTTTTTTTGAGACAGAGTCTTGGGTAGAGTGCCAAGGTATCATAGCTCACAGCAACCTCAAACTTTTGGGCTCAAGTGATCCTCTTGCTCAGCCTCCAGAGTAGCTGGGACTATTATAGGTGTCTTCCACAATGCCCAGCTAGTGTTTCTATTTTTTGTGGTGGGGGGGGGAGTTTTTGGCTGGGGCTGGGTTTGAACCCGCCACCTCCAGCATATGGGGCCAGCACCCTACTCCTCTGAGCTAAAAGCCCCACCCTAGTGTTTCTATTTTTAGTAGAGACAAGGTGTTGCTTTGCTGGGGCTGGTCTCCAACTCTTGAGCTCAGGCCATCTCCCCCACCCCGACTTCAGCCTCCCACAGTGCCAGGATTATAGGCATGAGCCACCACACTTGGCTTTTGTTGCTGTATTTCTTATAAAAAATACTTTCTTATTTTGAGTATAAACCTGAAAGAAAGATTTTTCACTACTCAGAATTTCTATTTTTGGTATATAACTCAGAAAATAAATCTGGATTTTTCTGTGTTTATATACAAAGAATCAATTTATTTTGAACTTTAAATATTAGACTAGCCAATTTCAAATATTTATGCTGGTGAACAAAAGCAAGTAAGACAGCATTTGGTTTTCACAAAAGTAACGTCATTTTGAACCATTTCTCTTCCAAAGGACTAGATAAAGAAAGGGGAATGCTGAGGGACGTGAGCTTTCTTCTTGGATGCTCTGCTCCCGGGAGGATTTACCTTCTCTGCCCCCAACTGCAGAATGTCTTCCAGACACATACATACTGCAGGAAAGAAGTCAGGTTAGAGAAACCTCGGGGGCCCAATCAATCTGCTCAGTTCAGGGTCTAAGACTAAAGAAGGATCATCTTTCTCAGCATAAGATCTAGGGGCAGAAAGGTGATGAGTACCCAAAGACAGGGAAAAAACAAGTCCTCTTTTAAATTATTTTAAAACTTCAGTTTCTTTTGAATGATCTCACCAGTGGGTGGAACTGACTAACCATTTGCAAATATCACTGCCATCAGAAGCAAAAATACTAGTAACAAAATTGTCTTCATAGAATCTTATCGTAATTTAAGAATGGAATTTAAAGTAAAAGAGAAGACATTAGTTAGGGTTTGTTTTTTTTACTTACTTTTTCTTAAGAAAACTGTGACCAAAAACATCAAGAAAAACTGGAAGGAAGATTTCTACATTAACCAAGTGCAAAAAAAAGGTTGGAGGATATTTAAAAAGATGTAAGAAGCAGCATGTTCAGTAATAAAAGGCACTAACACAGGAATCAGGATCCTAAGTTGCTTTCTTTCAGGGGAAAGGGCTGCTGGTTATGTAACAGTAAGTGTGTTTCTCCAAGTCCAAGTCCAAGTCCACTGGGTCTGACTGCAGTGTAGGAATGCAGGGCGCAGGACACAGGGAAATCAGTTACCAGGCCGCTGTGACGAGCAAGGTAAGAAATGACGGTGGCTTACGATGCGGTGGCAGCAGTGAAGAGCGAATAGGTAGATGGATCACGAGGGGAGAAACAATAACTGGAATGGGTGGCTATGGAGGAAGGAAAAGGAAAATGTGAAGACTTCTCTATTTCTAACTTACGTAACTGGAAGGAGAGTGAGGCCCATTCACTGATACAGGGAACGCTGGAAGAAGCCATCTTTGAAAGGGAAGCCCGGGGACATGACATGTTAAGCTTGAGGAAACAGCAAGTTGGATACAGGTTTGAGCTTAGAGGCACACTTCTTTGAGAAAGATATGAATAGTTCTTGGTCAAAGGAATGATGAAAAGGTTGAGATCTTCCAAATCAAATTCATACACTAAAACTTAAAAACAGCTTGGCACCTGTAGCTCATTGGCTAGGGCACCAGCCACATATACCAGAGCTGGAGGGTTTGAACCCAGTCTGGGCCTGTCAAACAATTAACAATTACAACCCTAAAAAAAAATTAAAAATAAAAATAAAATAAAATTTAAAAACTGCCATATTGGCTCAAGTTCATGATCTACCACATCCAATGTTTCATGTCCTTATCATTAATCTGATATCTATTGAAAATTACCAACTGTCTCCCATAATCCTTAACAAAACATCAAAAGGGCAGTACCTGTTTTGTTTCTTGAGCAGTTCTTAAGTCCAAAACAATGTAACCTATAGTTTCCTTGGCTGAAGATACAGGATCTAAGGCAAAACACTGGAGTTTTATAGGAGTACGCTGTAGCCTGTAACAAAACAATTGGTGATAAACAAAGATGGATTTTGTTTAATACTGAACCGACTTTCTATTAGTCTTGAAAAAACTGCCTATTATCAAGACAATCATAATTTTGTTGGGTAAGCTATATCTGTTCTATATTTTCTATGAAGCACTCACTGGCAAGAAGTACTAATTATATCTATATGCTGTCTACATACTAACTGAGTAATATACAAAGCATGCCAAAATCTTAGTCTCTCTCATTAAAGAAGCCATCACCTAGGTCAACATTTCTCAAGCTTCTATAATGTATAAAACCTTCTGAAAGTCAAAAATTACACACAAATTGCAAATATACATAAAAGCTTATAGTTCTATAGCTATAAAATTGCAAATACGCATAGAAGCTTATAGTCCTGTAGTTCTATGGTATGTAGGAATACCTTAAGATCATCCACTATTAAAATTTAAGTTAATATTATAATGTAACACATGACAATGCTCTATAAGCACAACCCTGATCCACAGGCTCAATTTCAGTTTAAAGCCTCTATACTGGCTCTTGCGCTGAGCTGAAAGGATCTTGCCAACACTTTTATCTAGTGGAATTACTATGAAACTGCACTGAGTACAAAATTATCACTTATAAACTTAATTTATCTGTATTTTTTCTCAGCCTACAACAATCAAGAGTGGTACCACTTGGCACTAACTCACTTGCAAACACAATCACAAATGTAGGCCCTAACAACTCACAGCAGGATTTTGTCTAAGCAACTATTTCAGACACACTAAAAGGAAATACATTTTTATATTCTCTATGAATTTAATCACCCTCTAAATAAATCTATACACTAATCTAGTAATAGAAGCCAATAATTTCTCCTTGCTTTCCTTAACTTTCTATTTTGATTTGATTTAGTACTGAGAACAAGCAAGTATTGAAGTGATTATGTTTCCCAGAAGAAAATGTATTTTCAATTCTTTAATAAACAAAAGCATTGCTGTTCTTGCCTGTTCTGATCAAAGAGTTCATGAAAAATATAAGATGCCAGTACTTTAAGCCTATTTTATATGCCTGTCTAAAATTAAATACAAATTATTTAGAAAGAGTCCTTTATATAATGACTTTCACAACTTTTCATTAGGTACGGTTCTATACATCCTTGGCAAATCAGATAAATAAATGAATTAAAAGAAATGACAATGAATTTCAACCCATATTTAATATTTGATAGGCATCATCGAGGCAGTTCTAAAGTATCTACTGTCTTACACATTATCAAACAAAACAAAATAAAACACACAGCTAAGTATAGTACAGAGCAGTGGTTCTCAACCTTCCTAATGCCCTGACACTTTAATACAGTTCCTCATGTTGTTAACCCCCAACCATAAAATTATTTTTGGGTTGGGTGTCACCACAACATGAGAACTGTATTAAAGGCTCGCGGCATTAGGAAGATTGAGAACCACTGGTATAGAGGTTAAAACTGTACTCTACCGCTATCCAGAGAACCGACTTAGGGCAAGCTCCTCATTTTCTTAGGAAGCCTCAGTTACCTCATTTGTAATATTAGTAATACTGGGGAAGTAATAATATAAACTTCATAGGGTGGCTCTACTGTTGAAATGTTTTAGTATTACAAAATATTTTGAAAATTTCCTGACACATGAAAAAAATATAATAAATATGGCTATTATGATAACATAGTGAGAGAAATAAAATTTACAGGTTGCCTATCCCTCACCTGAAATGTTCCAAAAATCTCAAATTCTGAGTGCCGATATAAAGCCACAAGTAGGAAATTCTAAGCATGAGCACTTAACGCAAGTTTGTGTCATGCATGAAATTATTAAGAATAGTGTGTAAAATTACTTTCAGGCTGTATGTATAAGGTACACATGAAACAAATGAATTTCATGTTGAGTCTTGTGTCCCAGCCCTGAGATAGCCCATATGTATATGCAAATATTCTAAAACCCAAAGATATTTAAAATCAAACCTCTGCTGGTCCCAAGAATTTTGAATAAAGGTACTCAACCTGGGTTCTGTGTTTGTTTATAGCAGCCTGAAAAAGAGGGAGCTGTTAAAGATACTAATTTAAATCGAAAATAACAGCTACCTGTGCTGATGAAGCGCTTTCCTGTCAATTTCCCAGGCTAACTCAGTAGCAAATTCTGGCTGGTCAGTATGGTTCACGGGATCAGTAGCCAACTGTTCTCCATCAAACTTTGCTTCTACTACAAGCATATGCTTTGGACGTTTGGGGAAATGGCGACCTGGAGGGAATAAGACGATCTAGATTAATTGGAGGTATGCAAAAATCAAATAAGATCACTTAGCATATGTTCTTAAGATTTGATATAGGTTAAGGGTGGTTGACTTACCATACTGATACTCCTTGCTAACCCATACTTACACATACGCTTTCATAATTTGTAAGAAATATGAATCAAATTGAAAGCTATAATTTATAAATGAGTGCTTCTCAAACATTAATGCGTACAGGGATCCTGTTAATATGTAGATTCTGGTTCAGCAGGTCTGCAGTGGGCCTGAGAGTCTGCATTTCTAATACGTAATGTGAAAACTGCCATCCTTAGTTCATGCTTTCAGTAGCAATGATCTTAGTAACAATTGGAATTAAACAGTTAAAAATGTGATTACGCCAATTTTAGATATTACTATACCAGTGCTCAACAAAATCTATACTATATTAAGTACTTAATAAGCATGTAAGTATAGGCATAATCCTTGAGGACATCAAAGGATTTTAAGAAAATCAGATTTGCAGTTCAGAAAGAGTATGCCCACACAGCAATGGAGACAGTCTAGATGTTTCTGGAAAGGAAGAAAATATTTAGGAATCAGACTATCCACCAAAAAGATTACTTAATCTTTTAAGTAATGAGTTTCCCTAACCAAGGTACTCACAATAGAAACTCATTCATTCAAAAACTTTTATGTAGCACCTACTAACACTTAGAATAGAAAATCAATCCTACTTCCTACTAACACTTAGAATAGAAAATCAATCCTACTTAGGGACAGAGTGGAAGCTAGGGATGGAGGAGGAATGCAAGATGAGGATGACGCCCAGATCTTGGAGCTCTTCTTGGCTTAGGGCAACAGCATGGTCACCATGAATGGAAATCCAGTACAAACACAAGAGAAGGAACAGTTTGGAGAGCAGTTCACATGCCAGTTTTAGGTATGTTTGTGGCAACAACCTAAGTGATATCCCTGACTCCAGGTTTCCATTAAATTGGTTACACAGGGTCATTAATCTGAACTTGAGAAAAGCACTCTCCTATTTAAGAATATATATAGCTTACCTATTTATTAGAACATTAATTCTAAACTCTTTGGTTTTCAAGATCCTCTAATTATACAAGCTCATTCCTTACCAAAATATTCCTAAATGTTTGCCCTCCTCCTACCCTGGTTATGTTGCTGTCCTCGTCCCTCCTCTGGCCACCATGCTCATGCCCACGTTGGCCTGGGTTGTACAATCTCCTGGAATGGCTTTCCTCTGTTCTCACCTATCTAAAGCTTACTTATTATTCAAGGAACTTCAGCCATCAGCCCCTCCCCACCCCTAAACCTATCTTTACAGGTGAGATCACATATTTTTAATATATTATACCCCAACATACTGTGTCTTAACATTAATTTGATCTCTCCAAGTACAGATACCTCTACATTCTTGAAGAGAAAAGATATCATATTTGTTTCTTCACAGCATGGGGAACAACTCAAAGTCTGAACAATTTTTTTAAATCCATTAATAAGGTGATTTCGGTTCTACATCTTTAAACAATCAATAATGTACCGTAATAACAGCCCTTTATGGCTTCTATTCAGTTTCTCTTGTTCCAAAACTCAAAAATTAAGTGCACAATATTTCTTTCTCTATCCCTCTTCCCCCCCCCCCAAAGTGCCATGGGGCCACAAAATACCCTCCAGGATGTGTGGAGCAGGGGCGGGATGGAGACTTTAGCCATACCTCTGGTCCCACACAAGATGACACCTATTTAACCTAGTCATAAACTGTCCTCAATTTCTGTATCAACTTCTGTGTCTTTCATTTTCCTGCCCTCTGCTCTCTAACCACACTGAATTTAAACAAGGCAAAACATGCCTTACTTTTCCATACCTCAAGTACCCTTGCTCTTCCCTTCCCCGTAACATCCTTCCGTTTTTCACCTGACAAATTCCTCCTGTAGTAAACTTTCCCCAGACAGAGCTCATCATTCCCTCTTCCACACCCTGATGAATTATTTGTTGACGCATTCTCCATGCTACACCCTTAGCTTTTAGATTTAGAACAAGACTATCTTATGCTTACACTCCCAGAGCAATGCCTTGCCACTCAAAGAGTTCCCAGCAAATGTCTTCATTCAAGAGGCGAACCGGTTAAGGAACGTATAATGCATCTTCTTAACAACTGTAGTCCTCTTAGTCCTTCATCAAGGCTTGTAAAGGGAAAGGCCTCTGCAGTGCTTCTTAAATTGCCCGAAACATGTACTGAAGGCAAAATTCTTGCAAATGCTATTATACCATTACTTAGGAGAGAGCTGAACAAAAACGCGCTTCCCAGGAACGCTTCCAGCTCTTACATAAACGCAATCGACGTGCTGCTTCTGATGGAAATCGGTCTTGCTAGATTCTCTAAGGCTAAGACTAGTCACGCTAAATATCACTTATCCCTAATAGCTCTCCTACTCCCTTGAGAGATTTTTAAATCAATTGCCTAACAGACTTCACTGCATACACTTTGAACAAGTCCGCTGGGACCACAAAGAAAAGATGACAGGGTTATTCTTAAGGTTAACAAACTCTCGGTCACACAGTACTCTAAAAATTCAGGAAGCAGCGGTTGCAAAAGCAAATCTCAAGCCGCTCACCTTCTAGGATGGACACGACGATGAGCAGTTGGTCGGACTTGGAGACCATGGTCGCCGCGGTCGGCGGCCCGGTGGCGAGGTCTGCTGCGGGGGGGGG